TCAAGCTTCAACCGCATCCCGCAGAAACACTTCTCCTGAATTCTTTAGTTGGCATCGGAATATGCCCACCCCAAATCCATCTCTGGCCCTTCAAAAGATGTTTCTGAATAGCTGATCGGCATTCTTTCTGCACAAAGTTGATAACAGTTTATCATCAACCTCCAAGCAATGAACAAGAATCATAATTCATACGCATAGACTATTCGGAAAACGAAAACGGAAACCATATCAACTATAACGCCCATGAATCAACCAATTCAATCGCAAACCATATCAACTATGAATCATCCAATTCAGTCGCAAATTAATTCAAGTTGGGTTTTCACATATTCGATATCAAAACGGTTAAATCGATAACGAAAACAACCCTCCAAGTACACTGATAGCCCTAATTTGCCAGAAAACATAAAAGCCCCAAATTCCCCCAAATCAGCAAACCCTAAATCGACAAAACCAGAAACAAATCCATACAATTTCAACCTAAACGACTACTTCCCGATCAGACAGACCATCGCATGAACTCTAAGACCCCTAATTAGACGAAAAATTAAAAAGCCTCAAATTTCCCCAATTCGTATAAACCCTAACTCGACGAAAACACATATAAAACTCTCTAAAATTTAAGAAAACCAAGGCTCGGATAACATACCTTCGAATTCGAGTCGTTACCACCCTTCGATCTCGGAAAAAATTGCCGGAATCGCGAAGACGAGATGAATCGCCGAAGGAGATAACTTTGGTCGTAAAAAAAAAGAGATCGAGCAAATGAGTTTTTCAGAAAAAAAAACCCGATACCCCTTAACTTTATTTTCTCTCTCTTTTCTGCTTCAACCAATAAAAACTTCACACGTGGCCGATGAACCCCTTCCTGAACCGCTGCTTCAGGTCCATCAGGAAGCACCGCTGCTTTCAGTATTGGGCTTTTATTCTTTATTTTAAATCGAAAAATGCCCAATATTACCATCGATGAACCACAATTTACCCAACGTTGGAGCTGGTCTAAGAGCATCTTCAATGCTGAACCCTTTCATGGGGTTCATAAGAATATTATAATATATTTTTTTGGAGTAATGAATAGTTTAAAACTCTATTCTTTTTTCTTCCTCCAATGCTGAACCCCTTCATGGTTTATTTTGTTTACTATTTGATTCTTATTTGACAAGAAAGTAAAACCAACGTAAACAATTCATTACTCAAGCTTGTAAAACCCTTACATGAATCCGTAGTCCAACGACCGACATGTTTAAAAATATATATATATATATATATACAAGAGCATATCTGCATGTCCTGTATTTAAAGCTTAGTCACCTGCAATCACTGAAGCAAAACAAACAAAAAAGAACATTTGGATCATTAAGCTCGTCATAAAAGTGAAAGGAGTAGCTGTTTTGCAAGAACTAATGATGTAACGTTTGCCATGGTTTAACACAATGACTTGAGTGGTTTCGCACCTTGGTTTGGAGGGAAGATGAAACTCTGCTCAGAGACTTTTTCCTACAAGACTGCTTAAAGGAAACGATGTTTCCATGAGAAGATGATGAAGGAGAGGGTTTAGGAGATCATAATGTTGAGAAACATTTGAGATTAAAACTCTTAAGTCTGTGGATTAGAGGTTGAAAACATCTATTAAAATAATGGATGTGGTGTACCACTACTGCAAGAGACAATAGCTAAGACAAAAAAAACAAAGTTAATAACCGTTTAGGTGTTAGACAGGTCCAGAGGGTAAAAAACGAATCTATGAGACATCACACCTGTATGTGAGTTTTGATGATCGCCTTTCTGATTAAAGTTGCTAGAAAGAATTCTCATTTCAGAACTCAGTAATCCAACCTAAAACTAGAGATTCAAAACAAGATAACAACAAAACATGTTTCAATGCAGAGCATCCTAATAAGATCATCTAATCAATCAATGACAAAAGTCAGAGGAACAATGGCGCTCACAGCGGTATAAGGCGCGAGAGGAGTGAAAGACAAGATGTCAATTCGATGCAGTAATTTCTTGAATCAGCAGCTTCAGGAGAATCAGGTTGGTTGCAGTAACCAAACGAGAGAAACCAGGTCGTCCAATATGTGAATGGTCTCTGGCTTGAAACAAGTTTTAGCAAATGTTAATGTGAAGAGCTTGCTTAATTATACCTTTCTTCTGCGTCTCCTCTCGCCTCCTGCCATTGCCTCTCAGTTCACACCTACGAATAGATCCACACATAAGAATCAGACTTTCAGAACCTCAAAAATCAGGGAAATTTTAATAAAGTTTGTTAATATGTATGTTTATCTACGCAAAACCGAACAAGAAAGGCCACATTTTTGTTGCGTCACAGCGAACAAATCTCTTCGCAATCGCAAACTTAAGCATCTCGATTTGGCTTCAGCTGATTAGGTTTGAAGGTTTCTCTCAGGAATCTTTTTCTTATTGCTCTACGAAGAAGATGATACAAACAAAGAACAGAGAAATTTGAGAAGAGAGAGAGAGCGTCCCAAACAAAACTTCTCGCTAATAGATTGCTGACACGTGGCTGATGAACCCTTCTAAAAGTGGGCTCTTGAAATCCTTCCCAAAGAACCGGTTCATCCCTTTTCTTTTATTTTTGATTTATTTTTAATCAAAATATTCTCCATGAACCTCCCCAACCCTGCGTTGGAGGTGGTCTAAGAACTTGCAGCACTACATTAGCTTTTTGTGTACTGTTACAACTTTTTTCTTTTACTTATTTGATACTATTTCTTTGTTGTATTAAAATATTCTTACCGTTTTGTGTTACCAGTAGAATCTTATGAATTTTTGGTTGTAACATCATTCAAGCTTTAGTTAAAAAAAAAAAACATCATCCAAAAAGAACAGATGTAATATAGGCTTGACTTAACTGAAAGATTGGTCGACAAATGACCAAAAAAAAAAAAGATTTTTCCCCTGCTCACCAATGAAGAGCAATCTCAATGGGAGAGACCCATGAGGGTCATTAGATTATTATTTAATTAGTTTTTAAGCAAAAAAAATGAGATTAAAAACTTATTCTAGAGACTTGGTGTTTTAGGTGTGCAATGAAGAGACCCACATGGATTTCCAAAAAAAAATATATATATTTTACCAAGCAAATCTATGTTAGAGAAATATTGATTGTGCATGTTGTTTACTTGATCGTCAATGACTTTGACTATGAGATACTCTTGTCTATGCATTGTATCCAACTTAGCTTGAAGGTTTACATATATTTGTTTGCGTAGAACAGTAAAAGAAAGAAAAAAATTGAAAGACACACGACAAATTACACCAATAGAGTGGGTTTATACAAAAAAAGTAAGCAAGACACAACCCATGGTTTGTTCTTTGGGAGGAAGCATCACCACGGTGGACTGAGCATTGAATCCCGAGTGAAGAACCTTCCCGCGGATCTCACGGCCTTCTTGGCAAAGGGCACATGTATGGCAAAGGACATGTGTCACAAAGTCACAAGTCGTCTCCATATGTTCCTTTTGCATCTCGTCCTCTATGCAGCTACCGCAGCAACCACATGACTTGTTCATCGCCTCAAAGCTTCCCTGTTTCAACCCAAAGGAAAACCAAAAATGGGGTTAGGAGATGCGATTTGTCCTTATATGCAAACAGTGGAATATAAAATGGGAAGACAGATGTAAGATTGCAAGCAAAACGGGAAAATTGTAATGGACAGGGCACTAGAGCCACTAGAGCAAAACGGGACAAAACTAGATGATGAAGACTTGCGTTTGAGAGAATTTTTATCATGTATCAAACCTTTATCACAAGGTTCCAACTCAAACAACCTCTCTGCGGCTTCTTTACCGAGTTTGGTATCTCCATAAACTCTTTGGCATCTCTTTGATCATTCTATAAGCTCTCCATACCATTTGATAAGAGCATTCACAGCTTGCACTTCTTCAAGCACACATGATTCATCACCAGCCCGTGAACGCAGCGTCCTTCTTCTCTACTTCTCTCGTGAACACAAGCAGATATAATTGGTGCAATCCGTGAAAACCCAGATATCAAAAAGACTAAATCTCTTTCAGGCATTTCATCGATCAGCTTCTCTGCGTAAAATTCATGATCCAATCTCAACTAACATCCAACAAGCTGGTCCCAGAGAATCCATGGTGGTATCTCAATGTCTTCACTACTTCACGAATTCAACAATTCGGATGAAAAATAAAACTATTCTGATATCAAAATCCATTTCAGATTAGAAACTGCTAGTGAACTCCATTAACCAATTTGCAACTCTGAAACAGATATTAAGTTTGTATTATTTCCTCAAGGAACAAAATTACATAGATATCAAAGTTTCTGCAGAAATGTATACTCACCGGATTTTACGCAATTCAAGACATAATCAGCGCTGAGAGCATCCAAATCAGCCGGAGAAAGAGGCGTAGAAGAACAGGAAGTTTCGAAACAAAAATTCAACCGATAAAGAGAAGAGATTAGGGTTTAAGAGCTTATCTCGTTCGCTTTCCCTTTCACAGACAAGTTCCGAAATCTTATGCCCCCGTCTGTAAACCGCGATCCGGCAGACAAATCGATTTCGTCGTCGGAGATATGAGAGGAGAAAACTATCGGGAAAATAAAATGTTTTAGCAAAAAAAAAATTTTCTCGCCAACTTTAAAAACAAATGAAAACATGACACGTGTGGCAAGAAACGTTTAGAAAACGTCTCCAATTAGGAGACCTCTCTGCCAAATAAGAAACGATACATTATTAAAAAATTAATAAATTTCTGCTAAATACCTTCTAAATATTGCGTTAAAAGATGCTCTTAGGCCGTATATGGGCTCACAAATAGTTTACAACTTGGCACGGTTCGATAACTGTAGGCCTCATTGTGTAATTAGCTTGATTATTTAGCTGAGAAATAGAAAAATATAGTAGCTTAACCAGTATGTAATTAGCTTAATTAATCTTAAGTAGCCACTTAAATTGATTTTGTTTCGTTTTTCTACATTGATCTTTTCAACAAATTTTAGCACAACACAACAAAACCAAAATTATCGCATAGATTATACAGTACGTAGTTATACATCTAAAGACTCTTTACCCTTAAGCCCTAAAACAGAGACACACCAAAACCAAAAACAGAGACATACTAAAACCAAAAACAGAGTCATTCATTTTACAAAGAGTAAAACCTTATTCATCATCAATATTCACACACATCTACTTCTTCGTCTTCTTTGTCTTCTCGGTGATCAAGTAGCAGAAGCTTTCAAGGCCTTTTTCGAAGCTTGAGATTTGATGGACTTGGGTTGTTTTGGCTTCTTCGCTTTCCTCTTCTTTTTCGTGGCTGCTTCTTGTCTGTTCACAGACACAGTTTTCTTGGACCTTCTTGACGAAGAACGAGTGTTACCCTTTCTCTCCTCCAGATTCTTCTTGCTCTGCTGTCTCGTAGTCCTCGTGTTAGTCTCTGAGAGCTTGTATGAGGCTCTGATTTTCACGAGCTTACCTTTAGCGACTGAGTTTTTAAGCTGTAGAGAAAGTGTTTTACGAAAATTATCTGGTAGTTCGGATTTGTATTTCTCCTCAATCTTCTTTGCTATAGCGTAAGGGCTTGATCCTTTCTTCTCTTTCAGAGTGATCAAAGCCTCTTTTATCATCTTCATCAAAACCAGAAGTAGAATAATTTAAAACAAAACTACAAATCTATTTTTTCAACAATGTAAAAAAGGCATATAGAGAAATTCACCTGAAAGTATGGAGGATGAGTGGCGGTTTTGGATTTTCGCGGCGTCTTCACTGTCTTTTCTGAAGCCGCCGGAGTTTTCTTCACGGCCGGAGATTCGGTTTTCTCTTTGGCCATTAGAGCAGAGGATTATTACTTTATTAGTTAGTGTGAGAAGAGAAGATAATGCTTTGTTTGTGTTTTTTTTTTTGGGTCGGCCAAAGGCTTTGGTTTTTTTGGCGTTAGCTATTAACCATCCTTTATAGCAGCGAGGAATGTCCAAGTGTTTCTTTTTGGTTGGATGTAGTGTTTGCCGGAGGATCTCTTACGTGTGCTTGTAATGAATCTGGAAGTTACACATGGCGGGATTTGCATGTGTTTGGGAGAAACACACTTTATTACAGGCGGTGTTTTAGATATTTCCTCATATTATATTATAAATTTATAGTTATTATATCAGGAAATATAAAGTATTGTATAAAATATTCCACCTTGGCGATCTCTGTCTACATAGCATCTTGTGAATTGTGCTTCCGCAATTTTTTTGTGTTGGGTGTGTTTTCTGATGGATACAAAACCTCAGTTTTGGAGACTGTTCTTGATTTGTTTTGACATACTTCAAATTTCATAGTAGCAATTTTGGATATCCCAAGTTGTGAAGCAAATCAAAGCGGATTCAAAAGGTTTCATTTGGGTATTGGGTTAGAATCAAAACGATTACAGCTAAACTAAATGGCAAGTGTGGAGCTTCAAATAAAGGGAAGATATCATATAGGGTAGAGAACACATCGTTTCAATGCAGTTCTAATACAAACACAGACCGAAAAGGTTAATTCAAAAACACTTACACTGATGCAAAACATGAAGCAAATGAAGTAAATTTTGGTGACCATTGCAGAGAATATGATGAAACACTAAAGAATAGGAGGAATGTGCTAGAATATCACACAAAATTTGTTCACATAAGGCCAGGCCGTAGCTTTTTGCAGCTTTGATTGATCCTGACTTCAACGCTTTACCCGATTCCAACCTTTATTATACAGCAATCGGTGTATCCTGCAGAAGCCACTTTTTAATCAGTTTTTCCTGTTGTGACTCTAAAAGGAATACTATAACTATAGTGTTGCATCAAATTCTCTTCTCAGTGTCAATATAAACTCAAAACTACTACTGCTTCCAGTGTACTAAGTCAGTTTTGCTTCTTGTGTTCAGATATCATATTACTAGTCTGTTTAGTGTGTGTTCTTGATATAACAAAACCATTGACTACTACTAGTTCCAGTACTAACCCAGTTATGCTTCTTGAGTTCAGATATTACTAGTGTGTTTAGTGTGTGTCCTTGATTCAACAAAATAATGAAACTTAGATTGTTTTTGAAAACTCTCACCTTGGAAGCTATATTTGAGACGGCTAGATTGAACTTCTCTTTGGTTTTCGAGCTAGCAATCTGACCTACTCTCGCAACTTTGCTGAAAGCACCACTAAACCAAGCAGCTCCTGCAGTTACGTACCTGTTTGCAAGCAGAATCCAAAACAAAGGATATACATCAGCTAATACTATATGCCAGACCAGAACACTTTAAAAGTGGACTACTTTTGAAATCGTTAAGAGATCAAAAAATATGGGGATGTTGAATCCTGCCATATCTATAAACAAGAGGGATGTCTACGGAGGGATTTTCCGTTTTACCAAATAATCAGAAGATAAGAAATATTTTAACCTGCTTGATTTGACAGCTGAACCCGTGTCGTTCAACTTCTTCTCGGCTGCAAATATTGCCGCCATGGTTTTATCGGAAACCTGAAGCTTTTGATCAACAGATTTTACTTTCTCGTTAACAGCAGATATGCCTACATTGAACTTCTCGGTAAGCCGAACTCTCTTGTCAAAAGATGAAACTTTGGCAGAAGCGTTGGCTCTTAATTGGTGCAACTCATCAAAAGCTTTGGCCTTGTTCACTGCATCTTGTCCAAGAGCAGACCCTTTTGCCAAAACAGTAGCCATCACATCTTGCGCTTTACTAACATACGCTCTACCGTTGCCATCCGTGGTCTGCAAAACAGAGTTTATCATCCCACAAGTTAGCCTTTCCAAGATCAAAGAATATGAGAAAGTTTTTTAAGGGCTAAAGAGCAACACTAACCTGGCGTGTTGGTGCTGTGGGCATCGCGTTCTCTACCGTTCTTACTTCCTGCAAAAACAGAAACTAAACACATCATTCAGAGCACACACACACACACTTACAGAAGAAACACAAAGTTGATTTATGGAAGAAACACAAAACCTGTATCTCACGCCTAGGAACATAGTTCTCAGCTGGAGTTATTGTAACGATCTTGTCTACAATTGTGGCACCCTGCTTAACAAAAATGTAAGATTATGTTTAGCATTTAAAGGGTTTACACAACTTTACATAGCGGATCAGTTTCCTCCAAAATAAGTTTTTACACAACTCTTCGAAGTAATTAGTCTTTTATACATAGCCAAAGACATAGCTTAGCAGCTCCATGAAGATGCAATAGCAGATTACATACCGATAATAAGAGCGCGATTTCAAGGGCTTTCGGATCATTAAACGTAACAAATGCGATTCTAGAATTCCCAGCTTCTCTGCACCCAAAAATCCCAGTTGAATTTAGCTCTAATTTTTTTTTTTTAGAAACCACCAAAACAAAATCAAGCTAAGCTGAAATTCCGCAAAGAAGAAGAAGAATTTTTCGGAATCAATTAAGTTACTGTATAATCTCGATGTGGTCTATGTCGCCTGAAAAGGAGAAAAACTCGTGAATCTCCCGCTCCGTTGCTAGATCTGAGACATTCTTCACTTGAACACTTCTCGTCTGCATCTAAAATTCAAGAATTAATATCAATTCAGCTCAAAAATCGGTGATACAGACCTAAAAATCTCCGCTTAGGTAAGAATCAAAAGTATGAATTCACACCTGCATTATCGGCGGCGGAAGATTGCGAAGAGAATTATTTTTTGCGGAAGAGAGAAAGAAAAAGATTTGAACAGCCCAGAGACGTCACTTTCTCCAGCTAAGCTTATATAATCTCTGCGTAATAGTTTCTTAAATAAGCAAAATTACTTCTTTTTGTGCCATTTAAAAAATCACATAAAAAATACTACTTTTCCTCTTATTGAAATGAATGCATTATTAATAGAGTGAATTACATAAAAAGATATAATCACCAATTATTATTAATAGTGTTCTGATGTAGTCCTTTTTTTACACTATACCAATTTTGACTAAAACTCTAGTGGGTTTGTAATTTATATCAATTAGGATCAAATAGTACACCTTAAAAGATATAATCACCATGAAGAGTGGAAAAGAGAAACCAAAATACTCGCGAGAGTTTACCATTATGAAAGTTATAAGAAGAAACTGAGATACAATGACTGGTTTTATCATATGTTTGATTGTATCAAATCCGTAGAAACATGCAGAATCAAAGCCATAATAACAACGAAGCTTAATCTTATTCTTCCTTCTTCTATGTTCTTCTTTGGTCTATAGAAGAGAAGGAAAATAAGCTGGCAACTTTTAATACATGAGAGGGTGGCTTTTGAAGGAGATCAGGATCAAGCTGTTCTCTTTATGATATGGACTCCACTGTCTGTGTCAACAATGTCGCTTATATCTCCAACCTTGAGTGCGTAAGTTGCTTCCTCAAATGGTTTCTGCATTTGACCTCGACCAAAAGGACCTGAACATGGGTCGTACAATAAACATTGAGAACTTTCAGCAAAAGATTTGTGAGCATCATTTATAGATTCATCAAGAAATAAACTTTAGATAGGTTGTGATCTAAATATCAGTGATGATCTAGAGATTTATGAGCAACAGCTATAGATTCATCAAAGAAGAAACTTTTAGATTTCAGAACATTAGCAGACTTTAGTAAGATTTATGAGCACTGATATTAGATAAGTCAAGGAAGAAACTTTAGATTCTAAATACCGGTGAACATCTAAGTAGTCATTAGTAAGCTTTATGAGCAACAATTCTAGATTGATCAAGGAAGAAACTTCAGATACTACACACTAGTGATGATAGATTTATGAGCACCAATGATAGATTCATCAGGAAAGAAAATAAAGATTCTAAACATAGATGATGATAGAAGCAGACATTGGTAAGCTTTATGAGCATTATAGATACATCAAGCAAGAAACATGGTGATGATCTAAGCAGACCAATGTCTGCTCATTATGCTCGATTCAATAAACAGAGTCGAATCCAATAGAACCCCATTTCAAAAAAAAAAAAAAAAAATTCAACTCGATATTGAATCATTATGCTCAATTTCAATACACAGAGTTGGATCCAATAGAAAACAATTCAAGAATTAACAAGCAACTCAGTATTGAATCATCCTCCAAACATCGCTAACACTATCTGATTAATTTCATTTCCTTGAATCAACTTAAACCTAAACTAAGCTGATCTTCACTACACACTTGAAATTAAAAATCATGACCTAGATATTTCGGGATGAAGAACAAACCTAGATCTCCGCCGCGTTTAGCGGAGCTACAGTCGGAAACGCGAGTAGCCACATCCTCGAAGTTAGCCTTGCCGGAGACGATGTCTTCACGGATCGATTTGAGCTGTTCGACGGCGGCTTCTCTGGTAGTAGTCATAATGATCTTCCCTTCTGGATCCTTCCACGACGCCTTCCTCCGAGATCCTTGATGCTTAATCAGAATGTGCGACGCCTTGACCTGGTCCCTCGACGCCATCTTGCTCTTCTTCCGGTGCTGCTTGTTGTTGTGGTGGTGGTCGTCTTTCTTCTCTTTCGATTTCTCCGACGTTCGATCTATCGACGAGACCGAATCTTTCTTCCGTTTCCGATCTGAATCTATCTTCGAAGATTAGATATCTAACAAAAGGTGAAAAGTTAAAGTTTGTGCGGCTCTCTTTTCTTTACCCTAGTTGTTGACGTTTGCTACTGTTAAGAGTAAGTGACGCGTTTCTTATATGCGAACATAAAATGAAATTTTTTTTTTTTTTTCAACAACATAAATTATTCGCACAAGATTATACTTCTGAATTCTGATAAAATAGCTTGGGATATTGTTCGTGAAGAAATTTCTGGATTTACAAATGTTAAATATAATGTCTAATTACTTATTTTCGTTATCGAAATTATACTTCTAATTTTTTGTTCATTTGTAAGTAAAGTATTGGCAAAAGCTTGAGATATATTGTTCATGATGGATTTTCTGGATTCAATCAACGGTTATACCTTAAGCGTATTATATAATGTTTCTTGTCTATTTAGCAAAATGATTAATAATCTACTAAAAGAAGGACAATCAATTGGTAACCAGACCATAATAATGATACAATGAAAGCCCAAATACTCTGTTTACAAGAAAACAAAGAAAGCTTATTCTATGTGAAAGAGATCAAAGAAATACAAAAAGACAAAACACACTCAACACTCACCACCTGAGGGGTAAGAGCAAGACATTAAACATTGTTGTTACAACCAAATATTACTGGCCAAAAGAATGAACAAAAACTTAATTTAAGACATCATCAATCGACGAAAAGAATCAGGCGACAAAACTCTCACGGCTAATATATTAGATGTCTCTCAAGACCGGCCAGCCTTTTCTAATGATCTCGTTTACTCTTGCATCGATCTGTTTCTGGATTCTTGGCGGGCAGAGCTCGGCTGCATAACCATTTAGTTTTGTGGCCAGAGCTGAGCTCTCGAGCTCTTCTTCTGCCATGTTTCCTATTAGCTGAAGAAGTAATGGATGTTGTTTCAGCTCAAACTTCTGCAGATTCAAGATTGCCAGAGAACATGAGTTCACTTAAAACTATATTTGGTTGTAATGAGCTTAACGAGTTGCTAAACCACCGTGATGTAGAGACATGAATTTGAACCTGATGATCAGGCTCTGCGCGATAAAACGTGTCTAACTGTTGAATTTGAGTAGTCACGATACTGCTTCTTGATTTAAGCTGCTCCCTTTCTTTGCTAGTAGAGGCTAACCTCAACTCTTCTGTCGAATTAGTGAAAATACAGGATCTGTTCATAAAAGATTTCGGATCTTTTAGTTTTTGTGCTAAACAACAAAAAGATTAGATTTACCAAACAGCTAGTGCGTCTAGATGTACTTCTCCTTACCTGTATTGATTACCGACATCAGGACCTTGTCCAAAGACTTGTCTGGAATCATGACTAGACCAGAATACATCTAAGAGCTGACGATAACCGACTATTCTTGGATCATATTCGACCTGAAACACGAGACAGAGCAACACAAACCTAGACGATCAAAAACTAGAAAACCAGCTCATGATACAGATGTTTACATAATGATTATGTTTAGTTCACCAGAGCAAATGAACATCAGACAAATTAGAGTAAAACCACAATCACATATACACAAAGATCACACATTACCAAGGCTTAGCAAAAACAAGCTGATTAGCTACATAATCTGGATATGTTCTTAGAGAATCCTACCATTTTCTACACTAATTTGTCTATCCAAACGAAATTTATGCAGTAGAGCAAAGCCAAATCGAACAACATAACTTGGAAGAGACACTCTATCAACGACAAAGCTCGATTCAAAGCAGATGGCAACGAAAAAAAACGAAGTAAAGACATTGGCTTAATCCCAAATATCAATATGTGAGATTAGCTAAGACCTTTCCCGGAGAAATCGAAACATAGTGTGGAGAAGGAGAACCAACCTGTACGGACTCTGCGTGATCACCCAAGTTCCTATACTCCGGATTCGCTTTTAATCCGCCGGAGTAACCGGCTGTTGTTCGTACGACGCCATTGATACAACCGAACGCCGCCTCCGATCGCCAGAAGCTTCCAAGAGCAAAAACCGCCGATTTCAATGGACGATCCGGCGAATCAACGACAGAATCCGAGATCTGGCTCGGTATCCTGATACATGCAGCCTTGTCGAGAAGAGAGATGCACAAGACGAGGAGGAAGACGAGATTCGCAAAAGGAATGAAGAAACGGTTCCTCTTCTCTGGTAACGCCATTACAGATTCAGTCTCTCTCTGTGACACTTAGCTGCTCCGAGCGAGGGAACGAATCTCTCCACATGAACCTTTGTTGAGTCGCCCAAAAGTCACTCCAGGCTCTACCACCTCCATTAAAACTCATTAGCCACGCACAACAACGTCTTCAAGTCTCTCTCTTTCATTGAGAAGGTTATGGTATTGTGAGTCCTAGAATTGCGGTTAACTTTGGTTGTCCGGTATAAACAACCCAAACTAAACCATTTCCAATAATCGAACCGATATGAATTAAAATTTTAGAAACCGAGTTTTTCTAACGCTGGAATGAAGCCAAATTAGTTATTTTCCAATATATCAAACTCTAAATTTCACACTTTGATATATAGACAGCAATAGCCTCATCAGGAAAGATTCAGCTAGAGAGGAGAAAAGAAAATAAAATGCTTAAATATAATGAAATTTAGTGAAACGAAAACTTGCAAAATGCATAATATAAGCTTGAAGAAAGAAGACAAGATTATAACAAAATCTTTGAGATTTCAGAACACAAGTTTCAAAGGGAAAACACACAGCAAAAACTCCAAGAAAACAGCATACAATCTTTAAACCTAGTCGGCCTTGGCGGCAGAAGCAGCAGCTTGACCTCTGAGACGACCAGTCCTCCTAGCAGCAATAAGACCAACCTTCTGTCCTGGTGGTGCGTCACGCCTGACCGTACTGGCGTGACCAATGTGCTGATGGTTACCTCCTCCGTGAGGATGCTCAACAGGGTTCATAGCCACACCACGAACCTTAGGCCATGAGTTTCTCTTCACACGGTACTTGTGGTACGCGTTTCCTGCCTTGAGCATCGGCTTCTCGGTTCTTCCACCACCAGCTACTTGACCAATCATGGCTCTGCATCCACTCGGGACAATCTTCTTCGAACCAGATGGCAACTTGATCCTATCAAAACCATATAATCGATTCATCATTGTCAAATCGAGGAACCATTGTGACAAAAGAGAAATCTTTGTTCACTAAAAGAAACTTTTCTCAATATCAGTTTACTCATAGAATCGTTTCATAAGCAGAATCTTTAGCAGATGATGAACATTTACTTGACTACAAGAACAATTCTAAGTAAAGATTATCCATTAAGCACATCATAATCTACACTAAACAATCAACAGATCTGAAAATGATTATCATTCAATCGATTAATTCAATTCAGAAAATGGTAATAAACAGCTAAATCTTCACAGTTTGGTTACAAAATTGAAGAAAACAAACCTAGTAGTGTCACTGTCAGGGTTGTGAGCAATAACGATTGCGTAATCGCCGGAAGCTCTAGCGAGAACACCACGATCTCCGACGTGGTGCTCGACGTTGCAGACGACGGCTCCTTCGGGAATAGCTCGAAGCGGGAGGACATTTCCGACGACGAGAGTGGCTTTCTTACCGCAGTACAGAAACTGGCCGGTGTACATACCTTCTGCGGCGACGAAAAGCTCCTTCTGCTTCTTGTAACGGAAAGGATGGCGGAAAGAGACGCGAGCAAGCGGCGCTCCACGGCCAGGATCGTGAATGATCTCCGTCACGACTCCCTTGAGATAACCATTACGCTCGCCGAAATCGAGGCTGCGGAACTTAGCCGGACCCTTACGGTGGTGAGTGTGGGATTTGAAGACGGAACCCGCTCCCTTACGCTGAGCTCTGATGACACGACCCATGGATGCTTCTCGACGGCGAAGATTGTGATTAGGGTTTGAGACCGAACTCGAAAATGATGAAGATTCTCCTTTTTATTGTGCAACCTGAAATCGTTCTAACCCTAATGGGCTTGAATTTAGGATATGGGCTATATGAATAAAAACCCATAATATCAATCTAAAGCGTAAGAAAAGCGGAATCAGGAGAAACCCATTTTCAATTTGCTATTTTTATCATCTCTTCTTGGTTTTTGACTTTTTTCAATCCGGACTCGGATCAGACCGGTTTATTCTAACCGAATCAAAATAGAAATATCATAATTAGTCTACCTTTTCTTAGAATTCATTCAAGTTTATATACATCATTATCAAGTTGAATCCAGATGAAAACTACTTATCACATGAGCATTACAGTAATATAAAAGGATAATGATGTTATGAATGTGGATAGATTTTTAGGCAATTTTAATTCGTTGATGAACGCAATAAAGGCTATCGCTTAGAATCTATGATGTCAACAATTTTATCATATTTGATGCATGAACACGAAAATAACAACAATATATGGAGGGCATATGTAATTTGTTTTCTTTATTTTCTGTCAACTAGCATATATAAACATATATTGATGCATATACACATCAATGTCAAGCAGACAATGTATAAACTCAAAATCAACTGGAAGTATGGGCAAGCTAGCTTTTAGGCAGACAATGCATTTTTTTCTTTGTATTTTTTTTTTATTTGTTTGTACTTTGTTGTGGTGCTCTTATGAATATGGTATGGCAATGTAAAACCCAGACAATGTGACAGTTATGTGCGTTTGTTGAGTAAGACATAATATAAGTATTTTTTATGAACTACAAGAATTATAAAAAAAAAAGTAAGAGAGTCGAACTTACATGTATATATCACTACAAGAAAGCATCTCATATTCCTATGAAAATTTTGACGAAATTTTTGGTAAGAAATTTTTATAACCAATTTTCTACGTAATTTTGACAAAAAGTAAAAGTGATAAGAAATTGGTAGGAATTTTCCTACCAAAAATTATGTCGAAATTTCGTAGGATATTTTCTACCGATAACTTACCACGCGGTCAAAATTTGAAAGGAAAGTGATAGGATACAATTAACCATTATACTAGTAAGTATTTCGTAGGAAATTTCCTACCAATTTCTGACGAAATATTATGTGTAAAAAAATCGTAGGAATTTTATAGGAACATTTCAACTTTGGTTTTGTCCCACATCGATGATCTGAGACAATTTGGATGATGAAGCTACTCTATAAATAAGATCTTCATCTCTCTTTTAGTTAATTTGTTTATATATATATATATATATTAATAATCAAATTAATAGTTAATTCATCTTTTAGTTTAAATTTAATTTTCTGAAATTAATTTAATTTTTTTAATTTATAAAATTAATTTTATTTTTTACAAAATCTTAAGTGGTAGGAAAATGATAGGAATATTTCGTAGAAAGATGGAAGTAATTTGGTAGGTATTTTCCTACGAATATCTACCGCCAAAATTTTCTTACCAAAATTTTCGTAGGAAATTTCCTACAATTTTTCTACCTTTGAAAATTTCCGACGGCATAGAACCTACAAAAATATTTGGTAGGAAATTGATAAGGGAAAGCCGGTTTCCTACGATTTTCTAATGAAATATCTGGTAGGAATATGTGATGTTTTCTTGTAGTAGTGTTATATCTTGTATCCACCTGATCCAATCTATTATCTGAAGTCAACAATCTTTGATATGAATGAAGGGTATAATATATTTTATCAAACAAAAAAATGAAGGGCATTATATTGTATATACAACAAAAGATAAGTCATTATTGAAAAGATACAGGAAATGGTCTTTCTCTCGTTTCGCCGTATTGTCAAATACACATTTTATTCTTCAGCACACTAAAAAAAAAAACTAAGCATCATAAATACGTATATATACATATAAACGAAGGGAATGTGTTTGGTAGGACCAAATTGATCCATCAAAAGAATCTGATTCCTTTATTGATGTACATACATCAAAAATTCTTTTGAAATATCACATATATATTAGAGAAGAAGTCTAGAACAAAAAATGAAATGAGACAAATACAGTAATTGACAAGGTGACAAATAAATTTCTACAAATCACAAGCAAACGTTTAGTTAGTGAAGAATAAAGCTAAGACTGTCCATTTTAGAATGGTTATCTGATCAGATTTATTCATGTTTCGAATTTTCTGTCGTATATTCGTAAGCGGTGAAAAAGTTTACATGTTTATAGTAATTTAATTTATTTTAACATGAACGAAAACAGATTAGTTATAGTATAGGACGAACTATCCTTCTGAAGCATTTACATTAATTAAAATTAGTTAAAATAAAATAAAAATTATTGTGTGATGGTCGCACAATAAATATTTCCTTAGACTATAGAAAGCTGCTTGTACACAGTAACTAAGCTCATTAATAACAAGGGCTTGAACTTGAATTTTTGAAAATTTTCGGAGCATTCATATACATTTGGGGATCAAATAAAGAACATATAAACTTTTTTCAATTGATCATAACTAATTTATAGAAGTTAAGTAGCTACTCCTCTCAAGATCACCGGTCAACTTTTCACGTTGACTTGAGGGAAAAGTTTCCCGAGTCCTACTCCACCCCAACTATTACAAAATATTATTTAAAAAAAAACTACAACTTTTAATTTTAAGAAAAGAAAAAAAAAACCGATCGATCGGGTTGATGCCTAACACAAAGCTTGTTAGCCATCTCGACCAGTCTTATCAGATGACTTCTTTGTCTCTTGTTTTTGGATTTACTCTCCACTTCAAATTTCGGTTTCTTCCTAATAAAGAGATTTCTTCTTCTGTCCATCTCAAAAAAAATAATCAATCATGCATCTCGTAAGCTATAAGTCATCTTTCTTCGGATGAAAATTTTATCTGAACATGGAGATTAGAGACCTGAAGAAAACTTCATCACAAGGTAACATTAGACCCATATTATGGTCAAAACCAAACTCTTCCTCGGCTAGTCGGAGCAACGTTTGGAACTCGGAGTGTTCGAGCCACGAGATGGGAACGATGTACCGACTTCGGTTTGGTCCAACGTAAACCGGAAAATGACCTTTTGGCACGTCTTGTGGAAGACCATCATCTTCTTGATTATAGTAGCAACCGTTGACGTTCTTCTTCTTCCCTAGACTCGAGCATCTCTTTAAGATCTGCTTAATAGATGCTGCTTGAGACGACCTCTTTATTGCCATTATTTTATATAAAAGCTTTTACTTTTCTGAAACTTTGGGTTTTGTTTGTAGAAATGTTATGAGAATAAGAGGTACATGGAGAAGTATTTATATGGACAGATGGGAAGGCTAATAAATTAAATAGGGAAAATAATAATAGATATGCTTTTATAATTTGCTTATTATAACTATAGATTATAATTAATTTGATTTTGATAACTTATGAGCTATGACGTTGACCAAATAGTGACTATATTGTATGTATTCTTAAATGTATGTTGAAAGATTTACATTTATTAATAGATATGTATTAGAGTAGATGCACAAGACTATACTTTTCTAACTTTGTTAATTTATTCAATTACAGATCATAATTAGGTTGATTATTTTGAGTCTTTGACGTTGCTAAAATTAGTGCCTAGATTAATGTATAAACTAGACGTAAAAAAAGATTTTACGTACATATTGTCTTACACAAAACGAGCAATAATAATCAACACATGCAGTCATTTGAATTGAGATAATAAATAACGGAAACACTCGTAACAATAATATTTTTTGGTAAACATTTATAGATTACATGGTGACATTGCAAAGCAAATACACGGATTCGACTTCAAGTTTCACTAGGCCTTTAAACTGGCTGATACAAAATTCTGAAAAATTTTGGTCGGATTTTGATTTGATAATCTAACAAACTCGTTTGAGATCTAGTTCTTGGCTTTTCTATTTTAGATAAAATCTCACTTCTTTCGGATAATTTGGGGTTCTGGTTCGCTCTGGTCATATGAAGAATTATGAGTTTTTATTTCGAAACTAATTTATAGTTAGTAATTGTCCCATCTGTCTTGCATATTGGTGTAAGTATCCCAACATGCGATATGGAATCCTAATTCCTAACATCTCCTAACTAGCTGATCAAAATAAATTATTAATAGGTTTTCTGTACATATGCCATATATATTAAAGGAAACCAATCAAATTTATTCAGTAAATCTGGATCTTTGAACCTAAGAAAATCCGATGATATATAGCCTATTTTTTATCTCATATAAAGCCAAAGTTCCCTGTTTGGATTCAAATTAGGACATCTAGATTTCTTTGTTCTTGTGAAAGCAAAATCATGTGGGATGTAGGAGGCAAGGGCAAATAAACATTGAGGACAGAGCCAACAAGGATTAGAGAGAGGCATTTAAAATTGTGAAAGAGAATGTATTCAAAATAAAATTGGGTAGGGACTATAACATTGCCCTACAATGTCTCCGTTTTGCCTTTACATACTTAGACACAATTTTACAAACAAAAGTCCGTTTCCTTTCTCTTACCTCTAATATCTTATATATCACATAAATGAGACCATGGCCTGTTATATATATCTTTATATACTGCATGTATATATGTATATACATAATTACGGACATGCAAAATAAAAGAGTTTTGAGATTTGTAACAAAAGTACGTACTTGCGGATATACATATATAAGGACTCGACACAAAAGATATCGTAAAACGTCCCTTGCCTTTTATTTTGCATACGTACACTGTACACACGTGTATTTTGCAGCAAAACTTTTGAAGTTATTTTGCTATAACTAGACATTATTCAAACATATGCATAAACGCCCATTTCTCTCAATAAAAAGATAAAGAGGGAACATATTGTCTTTTTTCTAACTATGTCTTCTAGATCTACGACAAAAATATAATCGTTAAGGTTACCATTTTAAATTCTGAAAATATGGCCAACAAAAGCTTCCAGTAAATTGATTTTTGTTACTTATGTACATATGAATAAACTACTGAACAACAACTGTTTGACTTAAAAATATCACTTAATTACCCAAATAATATTTTATATATTAATATCAATGGATTTATGATGGTTACTTTTGGGTTTATATCAAAAAAGGGAATTTCATAGGCATTTTTCTCTGAATACTCTTGAGATGGCAATCAGTTAGTTAATCGATTTTAGTTTTGTTTTGAACTTACATATAAATATATAATAATACATAACTAAGATTTTGTTTTTTTTTTGTGAAGGTATAATACATACCTAAGATCAAGCTAAATGGTAACTCGGTAAGCATAAGGGATTTATGTCTCCATGTGAGCATTAGAACAATGCTTTAGGCTTGAACCTAATCTTTTGTTTTATTACGAATCTATCCTCGGAGTCTCTATCTTATGTTTACGTACTTCTTCGCCGTCCTTAATCATTTTTTTTAACCGAAATCAACTTATTCTCTCTCTCTCTTTTCTTTATTTTTTTTTATGTGATCATGATCATTAAGCATATAAAATCTTAGTTTTCAACAACGGATGTATGGATGAACGTCTTAAAATATAACTAATAAAACAAAAGATAAGTATACACTATCTATCTATACATTTTTCATCGTTTCATGATGTTGTTGATAGAAATATGGTTTAGTAACTAGCCAGATTTCTCACCTTTAGCTTATCTGAATCAAAGAGCAATAGCAAATAAATCACTTTTAGTCAGGTATTATTAAGTACACAATTGTACAAAACAAAATAGAAAGTAGATAAAAATCTACAAAGGAAAACGAAAAAATAAATAATAATAAGTCAAAAGGATTAGTGGTGTAGGATCAAAGGGTGGGACAGTGAGATGATGGTGGAACAATGGCACTTGGCTGACTATAATTGGGGCACTTGTTGTGGTTAGAACTCGGAGACATTATCAATTCATTCTTCCTTGACATCAACCGAAAGCCCCAACACTTTCTTCTGTTTAAGATAATCTTCTAATTGTCTTTTTCTCACCTCAATGATTCATCATATCATAACAATTTTCATTTACTAGTTTAGTACAGAAAACTTATCACATGATTTTGATTTTAATCGGTCAACACTTGATCTAAAAACATTTTGTGGATGAATAAATTTTACATTCTTAAAAAAAAAAAAACCTTATAGTTTGGATTCTCACATCAGATCTTAGATAAGATCTATTGTTAATACGAGACATCATTTAACATAATATTAGATTCCGAACACATATTAACCAATTCAAACCAAAATCAATTTAACTCGAAATTGGTTAGGCAACTTAAATTCAAATATAGAATATGTTATCGAAATAAATGGTGTAAAAGATAATCCTTTCACCCGAAATAAAATAGAGATATGTTCAATATGAGCTATTTTTTTCATAGCATATGCTTTCAAATTGGAAATCCATGAAATTTAACATTTGAATATAAAATATAAGTAAAGAAAAATGGTGTAGTTTACTTCTTAGAAACAAAATGCATAGAAAAATGATGTAGTCTCATTATTGTGTCACTGGTCAATGACATTTATCAATTTTCATTGAACATATGTTTGAACAGTATTATCTTATCCAAATTTCAACTTGACAGTAACATGTGCTATAAAATTAGTTTAAATTTCGGCAACAAAACACGATCTAGGAAACTCATACACCACCAAAAAACGGGGGGGGAAAAGTCACACATTTGATGTTCAACATGTAATTCTGCAAACATGAACAAAAGAAAAGGTTTGGCAAAAGAACAAAACTAAATAAATAAAAAAACAAGAAGAAGACAAGGTCTGAGAAAAGAGTAAGAGCCAAGAGAAATAAAAAAGAGGCATAAGTGTGAAGGGTCCATTGTCTTGAAATCAAAAGACTCACCCATGTGGGTACTATCAAAAAACCTAAAACACCACCAGCAACACCAACTAAGCAAAGAGTGTCATAATACATAAGCAGACATATATTCCTCACCATCAACTTTGAGCCACCAATTTGATTTTGATTTCTTTGGATAACCTAAAGTGGGGAAGTTACTTCCCCATGTTCTATGGCCACAAAGAGCAACAATGATTTCGACATCTTTGTCTCTCTCTCTCTCTCTCCCCCTCTTTCGGTTTCCAAATTCACATGTGATTATTTTGAATTTTCACTAAACAAGAGCCTGATACATGTCATTGTCACATGACCCTACCCATGAGAAGTGTATGTGTGCTTCTTCTAACATAGAGAGAGAAAAGAAACTAAACAAATATGCAAACGCCTAAAATCGACGCATCCCCACATGTTCTATTGAATGAAAATGACAATAGACGATAAGAAGATGACTTACATATAGAAGAGAAGGAAAAATACCGGTTTTGAAGCCATCCTACTCGTTAGCTTCTTCCATTGCCTCCTCTGCTATGCAAAACAAGGCATGAAAGATACAGAGCTTTTACCTTTAGAATACTTAGGCAACATCATGTATCCAAACAAACCATTTAGACCCTGCAGCTTTCCAGTTTCCACACTGTTCAAGAAGTTTCAGTTTAAGTTGTGTTTATGCACATTCACAAACCTGTGAGGTTTATGTCTGAGAGAACCTGGTAACAAAAAGCTTGCACGCAATGTATGACAAGAAAAGATTTGAGGGAGACGTAAAGAAGATGAGTTAAAGCATATGCATTTGTACTTTGTCTCATACAACCATATTGACCATAAATGGTCTTTTCTTTACATGTTCTACCCGTTAGGAAAGGTGTCCAGATATTAAGATATCTCTGGTTTTTGCACCCATTTACATATACGAACTACGAAGCGTATCACACAAAATTTCCTACCATACTTCTCTCTGTTGTTAACATTCGTTGCCAGAGGAAGACTAAAGTTCTTCAGGTTGTCCATCTACCACGATCAACTGTCTTTTTAGCTCAGCGATATCAGCTTGTACCTATTGCATAGTAAATACAGTCAGATAATATGCATCTCTAGAATAACATAACCATACCCTAGAAAATCAAGACAAAGCCAAACAAGAATACGCCCAAAAAATGGTGGCTGTATCATCCAAAGCTAAGTTTAACACACTCTAGAGTCTTAACTACTATTTAAGTTTGAGCAAGAGGAAATTGTGGCTGTATAGTCTAAGAAATTCACGTTAAAACTACTGTGGGCTACTCAACAAGTCAGGCCAAACTGAATATATGAAATAATGAAAAGGTAAAGTTGTGCTGCAGAGACCTTGTGGCGAACTGCAGTGAGTTTTAAAAGCTCATCTGCTTCAGAAAACTTCAAAAACCATTGGCTAAGCGGATGATTCTTGGTGTCTCCTTTTCTCATCTCATAAAAAGTTTCAGCGAGTCCTGCAACATTACAGTGCGATAACCATCACGCCTCAGCAATAACGATTGCTTCACTAGACACCAGAACAAGAATGCACCTGGAGGAGGCAAGTTGAATCCATCAGGGAGCTTGGAGATGTGAACAGCCGGGTGATTATGCGCACGAGCAAGGAAACTCTCAAAAGGGCTAGGGAAGACAATTTCATTGTAAAACTCAGCGACAACAGGTACGTTTGGATTCTGAGGACCACTGTAAATCTCAGGGTTCAACTTTAACATGTGAGACCTGGAAGGAAGTTCAATACATCCTAAGAGATATATCTATATAGACCAAAAACTTAATCCACTGAAAGTCACAATCACAAAAGCTTGCACTCACAGGTCCAACTTCTTTTCACAGACATCTGTATGGAGGAAGATGGTGATATCGATTTTGAACTCTCCCCAACCACACTCAGAGAGTGTAAAAGGAGGTGAATCAACCACTCTAATAGGGTTCTTGAAACTTGGATGCAAATGGAAGATGACTTTCTTTATAACCACACCAAGATCCTCATTCGTAGCTCCACGTACATAGACAGTCCAGTTATGTGTTCGATATCTATAGAAATCAAAGAAATTTCAAAAGATTGCAACATAACCATAACTTACAAAGAAAAAGAGATAAAAAAGGCACTCACTCTTGAGCTCTCTTTCCACGGAAAAAAGCAATCGATCCACACACAATAGGAACAGAAACTTCAACATCTTTGACCCTTCTTCTCCAATTCTACAAAAATCACAGTAAAATCAAAACTTGATATCACCCAAATCAAATACTAACTAAACATTTCGAGTTCTACGATAAACAAAAACCAGTCTCAACAAAATAAAAATGGCTGATTTCATTGTTTCATGCAAAAGGACAACTTTTGTTCCCAGAAACACGAGCATATACCAAGAAATAGAAAGCAAAAAACCTAAAATCCTTCGTCGGAGGAAGAATCCACAGTGGCGTTTTAGGGTTTATCGAACGACATAATACCTTATCTTCGCGATCATCAATTGGTCTGTTCATTCTGAAAAATGCCTAATTTCGGCGTCGAAAGCAGTCAACTTTTTTCCTTTTTATCGAATTTTCGCGGAGGAGGGAAAACAATTTGGGCTTAGGTCGAAAAAATATTCAATTGATAAAATATAAAGTGTAACAAGGCAAAATTTCATTTGTTACCCAGCCGAACCGAAATTCTCGAACCAAATCGTTTTAAACCGAATTATACAAACAACCGAAACGAAATCGAAATTTTAATATCGAAGCCCGCGTCAAATTTGAACCGAACCCAAAGTTTACCAAACCAAATGAACGTAACCGGAATTCGAATTATTTTTGGTCCGAAGCCAAACCGAACCCGAACCAATATAAAATTTGACTCCATATTGTCTACAATAACTCTGTTTTTTTTTTTTTTTTTTTGTTCATATGATTTCTTGTTTTACTTTCATACAATACATTTTAAAAACTCTATACGTGATTCATTCGTGTGTTCCTTTAATTAATTCTAGTTGCTTGAAATCCATATTTCATAACAGAATTTTTGTTACAGTATCTAAAATTGACTTATAAAGATGGTGAAAGCTTGAAAGTCATAATGGTGATATAAATGTCTGTGAAAACATTGTCTCACGATGAGAAAGATGACACCAACAAGAGATGAGCCAAAACAAAAACAAAAACAAAAATAGAAGCAAATTTCAGATGTTTGATGCACTTAAAGCCATAACTTTGCATTGTTCATTCAAAGCTAGAAGCTGAGCCTCTTTCTTGTCAAGAAGTGCCGTCAATTTCACATTCTCCTCCATCAGTTTCTGAACTTCAACCTCTTTCTGCGCCTTCTCTCCCTCTAATTGCGTCGTCTTTGTCACCAACCTGCTTTCACCATTAACAAAAACACATTAAAGAAGATAATGAGAAGATTGTACACTTTCGGTTTTCATAAAGAAGATTATGAGACTTACCGTTCAAAGAGCTCTTCGATGGTTTTGAATTGTCTCTCAGACGAAAGAAGCGTTTCTCTGACATTGGTAAAAGTACTGACATAGCTTTTAAGAGACTCGAACTCTCTCTTCACACGACAAAGCTCCTCTTCATTCTCAACAGCTTTTTCCCTCTGTCTCATCGTCTCTTCAACAAGCTCCTCAATCCTCTCCCGCATCTCGTTCAGGACACTATTAGTCCCGTGAGCAAACCGCTCCATCTCTTGTAACTTGGACGACAGATTCTCGATCTGGACTGTCTTCCTACTAAGCTCTTCCTCTCCCAAAAGCACCATCTCCTTTTGAACAGCCGTCTCAGATTCTGCTGCTGTAACTCTCCTAACGAGAGATTCCAACACATCAGTAACCATCTCTATGGACTGGAGCATCTCACTAGTATACGCTCCATCCTCTACACCAGAGGAACCATCCCGGTGCCTTCTAGCTGCATCTTCAGAAGATGATGAATCACCATCTTTCTCAACAAGGTCTAATCCTTTCAGTCCCATCTGTTCCACATGAGCTAGACTAGGAATGGCCAAGATTCTAGCTTTTGATCTCAAATAGCGCAAAATAGTTGCAGTTTCTCTCACCCTACCCGAAAGATCCACTAACTCCTTCCTGGCATCTTCTTCTGAACCAAACTCAAGGTAAGCCTTGACATTCAAAAGCTCAGCTTCTAAACTATCTACCTGAAACCGATGAGATTCCAATTCACTCTCTTCCTTGGTTAATGACTCTTGTGCAGATGAATTAGTATCTTCTTTACAAGCCATCCCCAGCCCTCTTCAAACTTCAATAATAATCAAAAAAAAAAAACAGCTTAGAATCAAAACCAAAAACAACCTAAGTTAATAACAGATCTAGCTACTATGTTCCTGTAAAAGACATGTTAACTCTCTACTAGACCTGATCATTAGCCGAAATTAGCTTCCTTTGAGTTTGAAACAAAGAAATCTAAGGGACATTTCAGACAAGGATAATTGAACTTAGAGGCTTATCAACAAAAACGAGGATCAAGACAACAATCAGTGATTCTGATTGGCTGGTCAAACAAAAAGGCACTAAAAGAGAACCGTGTCTTTTTTTTTTTTTAATCAGTTGAATTATCATCTGAAGCTATTGAAACGGTAATGATAAACAGAACGAAACAAAGGTAAAATAAACGAGAAGTGATAATTTTTCTGACGAGAGACCGTATGAACAATGATTAATCGACTCAATCTGATAGAAATTCGAAATCGATCGGGAAAATCTTCAATGAGTTTGAAATAATCATACAAAAAAAAAATATAGAAAAAGGATCCTCACAATTGGAGATCATAAAGCTTGGAGATTTGCTCCGGCTTGATTGGATTCGAGGGAACGAATTAGAGGGAAAAAGCTTCTTTGATTAATCTTTGGTCGGGGGTTTTCCGAAGAGAGCGGGTGAGATGGAAGGTAGGAGACGAAGACAATTTACAGGGCAATGGGAAAGGACCAGCTGCTTTGCTTTTGTTGCTCCTCTCTACTTTTAATTTTTTTCTCCTTTTGATTTATTTTCTTTTGATTTTTTGCTTTTTGTTTGTTTTCCCTTTTTTTCTATATAATTTTTTTATTCATACGCAAAAATATCATAGATGGATTTTTTTCTTTAAAAGTATTAATTCATCTTAAATTGATTAAAAAACTTTCTTAGTGTTATATTTGAGACCAAAAATGAAAAACAAGTTATTATCGGATAAGGGGTAATTCTTTGTCCCCTTTTATTCGTTTATCTTCATAAAACATTATATCCTTTGTAAAATTACGTAAATAATTGAATAAAATTATTACTACTACATCGAATATAATTAGGTAGCAAGTTTTTCAAAACAAAACCCGAAAATCGAATAACCCACACTGAATCTCTACTTCTTTTTTTTTGGTGCGAATTTCAAATTGAATCTAAAAATTCGGATTTATATCAGTAGTAAAAAATAAAAGCATGGAAGAGATTTAACAAAGAAAGAGAAAAAGTGTCGAGCTCAGTGATCAGACGATGAAGACGAAGCGACCGGACCACCCAAACCCATTTTCTTACCCAAAACACCAAGCTGCTCCACCAACTCACTTCCGGTAAGAATCTCAGTGGCTCCATAAATAACGTTCTTAACCGTTAACTGTCTCTGAGTCAGCTCCTGCAAACTCCCATACTCAACATAGTTTCCTCCTCCGATCATGAACACCATTGCTTCTCTAAACGGTCCCTTCACATGGCTCCCACCACCACCACCTGAGCTAGACTTTGGAGCTCTCGGGTCAAGCAAGAGGTAAGAATCGAACTCTGGGTTCGGTTTTCCTTCCGTTAAAGCTTCAACGGTTCGAGTCACCGCCAATTGCTGATCACTAGACAACAGATTCTTGACTCCTGCCGTGACCGCGCTTATAGATTGTCCGTAAAGCTTCTCTGCCCAATCTACAATGTTGCTTCTGCTTGCTGAATTTGCTGAAGCTGCAAGAGAGACGTTCAATGATTTGATCTTCTTCACGTACTGAAACGCGCTTGTGTCTGCCTCAGCTTCGTTTAGTGCTGCCTCCACGGATTCGACTTCGGATTGGTTTATTGTTTCCGTGGAGATCAAGTACATGATTGCAAACCTGAGCTTGTCCATCTTTGTACCTTTCCCTTTTAAAGCAGCCATAAGCTCTGCTCTGTCGATTCCACCTCTCATCATCATGTCGCTTTCTTTCTTCGTGTAAGCGTCGATGGATCTCTCCTTGATCTGTCCTAAAAGCGCGGTTGCAATGTTGGTGTGTTTGTCAATCACTTTCTTTCTCTCGGTTAACTCCGGAAGCGAGTTCACAGCGTTCATGAGATGTTTTGTGTTACCAATGAGATCCGTCCCGTCAAACTCAGCACCACCGTTTCCACCACCGGTTCTCTTGTTAACCTCCTCGACGTCTCTCTTGTACTTGTTCAACTGCGTTTCGATCTCAACAGCGACTTCTGGAAACTCAAGAGAGCTGTTTGCTGACCAGAACGGGTCAAAACTGTCCAGCTCAAACAAATTCATTCCTCCTTTTTCTCCTTGCACGTTCAGTCTGTTGAGCTTTAAGCCAAGAACGTCGTGAACAAGAGGACGGTATCTGAAATCATGCTGAATCCCAACCGAGAGCTCGAAGTTCCTGTCGAAGATGCACAGTAGCGGACGCTGAAACGAGCTCATGAAACCGCCGCCTTCAGTGAACAGATTGTTCTTGGACAAAAGATGATCTCTAAGTTTCTGATCCAACAAAGACGCAACCATCTCTGCAGGTCCACCACGAGGGCATCTGATAACAGGGACTACACCGAGCGTTGCCAAGACACAGAACAAACCACTAGCCACTTTTTCGATTATCTCTTCGATCTCTTTATCCCCTGCTGATGGATCATTCAGCTGAACGTAAGTAGATTGCTGAGCCAGAGAGAACAGGTTATCTTCCAGAGTCACAAACTCCAGATACTGATCATGCACCTTTGAGACTTTCTCAACGGAACTACGCTTGAGAGTCTCGGAAGCGAGGTCTTCGAGAAGCTTGCGAGGGATTGAAGACGAGAAATTCAGATGAAATGTGTCGTAGAGAAAATTAGAAGCATCAGCTATGATCCTCTGGATGTTGGATTGAGTGGGTTGAACAAAGTACACAGCGGGAACATCTTGGACTGGTTTCCGATCTTTGTCAAGGAGAAAGTAGAGTGTAACTCCATGTTTTCTCAGATCCTTGACATGGATCAATGGAGACAGAATGTTTTGACAGAACTTGTCGTAGATCAAGATCTTATAAACGTCCTCGTTTGCTGTTCCACTTTGATTCAAAGGTTGGTTCAGATTCAGCATCCGAATTATACATTCTGCAAACGAGCGATCAAAGATCCAACATTAACCATCTATTCAAAAGAAACCACAATTCTCTTCATTTCCAGATTCCTAAACACGAAAATCCAGCCTATCTTTCTACAGTGACGAGACAATATCAATAGATCGAGCAACAGAGAGACGAATCATCGCAGAATCTGAGATCACTCGCTCACAAACACATAGAATTACAGATAGAGAATTACCAGTCTGTTTCTGGCGAAGATTGAGAGCCATGGAAGGCTTAAAAATCAGGTGGATCAGAGGAAAACTTGTGAATTCTCAGCGAATCCTCACTGTATCGTCTTATCTCCCTTTGCAAAACTCAGATCGAGATTAGGTGATTCCAGGAAATGGGTGCAGAGAAATTCAGATAAACAACGAAAGCAGTAAACATTCAAGATCTAAATCCCAAATCGATCTAGAGAAACTTCAAAAACCCCGAAACTGATGAGTGATGAAGATGTATGTAACGATAATCACCTGTGGAAATTGGAGAGGAGAACGACGAAAGAAGATTCCGATGTAAAGGAATCAATATTTCTCCGAACAAATAAATGGGCCTAATGGGCCGAATCAATTTTACAATAAAGTTGGCCCATTCATATTCAGCTTTCTTCCGAGTTTCTTCTTCTCCCTCCTCCCTGCACGAAAAGTGAAACCCGGAGATTCGTCGCCGGGGTCTGGAGTCTCCGGGAGCAGAAGCAGAAGAAGAAGATAACGAAAGAAATGGGAGATGGAAGAGAAGGAGATTGGGAATGTTTAGGTTGCAGTAACAGAAATTACGCGTTTAGATCATTCTGCAACAGATGCAAGCAGCCTCGTCTTTTCATGGATAACAATACCTCTCCAAACTCTAAGTGGCTTCCTCGTATCGGAGATTGGATCTGCACTGGTTCGTTCTCTTCTTCATCTTCTTCTTCTGTTGACTCAATTCAATTCTTTGATAGCGCATATTCGTTGAAGAATTCCGCTGATTAGAATCAAGCTTCCTTATCTCTATATCATTTTTCTCAGCTCGATCAATACATACAACTGTTATTCCCTGATAAATTTCAAACTTATTGGGTATTAGCTTCTCAGATTATGATGTTTTTAAAAAGTCTATCTAGTGAATTTGAAGCAAAAGTAGAATGTTACTGAATCGTGAGTTCTGTGTTCAAATCCTTAACAAGTTCTCTTTCCATTGGATGATACCTTAGATTAGAGTTGTGGAATAGGCCTTTACATATAACTAGGTTGAGCTGGTTTTGTGTATTCTATGTGTTATGTGGTATATGGAAATTGCTGGTGGGTGTGGTGTGCGTGCGTGCGTGCGTATCTTCTTCGTGCTGCGTTTTGCGTTTGGGTGTGTGGTGTGGTGTGGTGTGGTGTGGTGTGTGGTGTGGCAATAGGTTGCACTAACAACAATTATGCATCACGAGAAAAGTGCAAAAAGTGTGGACAACCTAAGGAAGTAGCAGCATTGTCAGCACTTGCTATCCCTGGAGCTTCTCTTCAGACTCATCTCAGTTACTTCCCCCGTGGACCTGAGCCAGTCGATCAACCTGGTTCTTTACTTTCATTCTCTAACCCTGCAAATCAAGCTTCGGTTCTTAAAGAATGGAGGAGCGGTGACTGGATTTGCAGATGTGGGTTTCACAACTATTCCTCTCGTATACAGGTGAGCTAGTGGCTTCAGGGTTTAGGGAACCGACTTGCAAGTTTCCGGCTTGTCGTTTACGCATTTCTCTTTCGTATGTTTCTGCAGTGCAAAAAGTGCAATGAAACAGCTCCACTAGGTACGGTTTCTGTCTAATCTGAACACATGTCAATGCTGTGCAATTTTGTATAACAAGGTTGTCCCTGATATTGATTCTAACAAGTTTTCATTTGGGTTGCAGCTCTTAGAACAAAGAGATTAGCATCAGAAGTTTTGGCTCAAGAATGGGATACCAAAAGACTGAATCAAGGATATGTAAGGATTAGCTGTGGAGCGCAGAATTTGATTAGCACTTTCAAGAAATATTCTTGTTCCATAATCTTAGCTATGTTTCCTTCTGCCTCTTTGTGAAGACAAGCATGCAGCCACAATCAGCGTTATATGCATCTTTTCCTGGTATAAGCCCAGGCCGGATCCCAAATTGGCAACTTCCTCTCCCGTTTCTACAGCAACATTTAACACCTACGTTACTTGGAAAAGGGTACGACAATGATCTCTAGTCTTTATTATTTTCTAAAGTCTAGAACTTTTGCAACCGTACTCCCCAATTCTTTATTTTTGCTGAATACGTAGAGCAAAACATTGGCGTGATGGAGACTGGATGTGCACAAGTTGCAAGAATCACAATTATGCATCACGATCAGAGTGCAATAGGTGGGTTTCTGCTAAGTCTTTTATCAGTGAATGATGAAATCTCTTCTGGTTCTTTGCATTGAGTTAAGGTAAACAAAAGTCAAAGACAAAATTTGTTTTCTTTTTAATGTCAGGTGCAAGACTAAACGAGATATCCTTGAGCAAGACACAACTCCAGCACAATCTTGAAGTATCTGGAAGAGTATTCTTTAGTGTCATAACTCATAACACATGTACTGTATCTATAAAACAGGTCATTAAAACTTGGATTTTTTCTTTAACTTTTCCGATTTGGCTACACATTAGTCGAAACTAACTTCAATACAAACTCATAATGTTTGGAACAGAAAAGCTTTTTAACCCTTCAAGATGTTTTTAGGATCAAGAGGCGGTGTGTCAAGCTGATAAAGATTCAAAGCCGGTCCAACAAACCGGAAAAGAATCCAACCTCCAATCACAATGTAGATGGAAGCGTAAGCCAATTTGTTCAGCCAAAACAACAAACCTTTTTCTCCTACATAAAGCTCCAATGCTTTCTCATTCAGTGTCATCTCTTCCCATGGCTTTTGAATAGTCTCTGCTTTTTTCCCGGTTTGCCCTCTTCCTCCTTCTCCTGAACCTTCTTCTCTCATTTTCTTTCTAGATCCTCTTTTGAATCTTATCTCCACTCCATCCAACGGCTGAGAAATCTTCCCATCGCCACCGCCATTGTTGTTGCCACTGTTTGAGCAGTTTATCGAGAAAGATTGTCTCTTGTTACGATGCAACACGATCTGGGTTTGTGTGATTGCACCGTAAGATTGTTGCTCTAGATTGATAATTGTTGGTTTAGCTGAATTGAGAGCTGAAAGGTGAAGAATTTTCATTTTTTGTTGTTTAAGACTTTGGAGCTCTACGAAGAACAATTCTGGAAGATAAGCTCTTCCCTTTATCTTCAACCGTTAAGCTACTTCTCCATTTACCCACTTATTTCTCGCCACGTACCAACCCGAAATTAATGGGCTTTTTAAAAGTTGATGGCCCATAACCCGTTGTCAAAAATATTGGCCCATATACTTGCCTCGGCGGCTCGTTAATACCGACTCTATCCCTTTTTACTTTCTTGAATTACATGTGTGCCTTAAAGCTGTATACAATCACAGAATCTCACTGACAAAAGAACAAGATTTCAAATTGTTCGTACTAGAACAAGATTTGATTGTGAGATCGGAAATCGAGCGGACACAATGGAACACGACCCCTTTCTCCGGCAATTCGAGCCGTCGGATCTCAAGATCGCTTCGGAGTTTTTGACGACATGGCTTTCTTTCTTGTCTAGAGATCTCTGCAAAGACTGCGTCAACGCTCTCTCCGAACGAATCAGCTCGCTTGACCCAGGTAAGGATTAAGCGGGAAAACTTCGGGTTTCTCGGGAAATTGAAATTTCTTTGTAGGAAACAGAGATATTCTCTGTTCCCGTAATTGTTTTATTTCTTTAATTGATGTTCTGTTATTTATTAAGGTAGCTATGCTCTGAAGAAATCGAAATTGAACATTAGGGTTTAATAATTGGTAACAAATAGGATTCGAGAGAGTAGCGTTTCTTTGTTGTTAGAATTTTACTGTTTACATTCAATAATGTTTCTAAAATTGGTGAGTTAAAGTTATCGGCTTTAGGGTTATTTGTTAGTTGCTTATGAGGAATCGTGTTTCCTTGTGTAGAGCATTGTAGTAACATTGATGGAGATGGTAAAGCTGGTTTGGGATTAGAAGGAACAAGTAACAATGTGGATGATGACCATGAAGGCAAGTCTACTAGAGATTTGAAAATTATCGGAGACTGTGATAATCATTCATTAGGTAGTTGGAAAGAGAGTGGAATTGCATTTGGATCCTTATCTGAAGTTCTTGGTAGTGCAACGCCATCTCGACCAGCTGCTGCTGAAACGGCAAGCCCTAGGATGTCTTGGGCAGATATGAGTCAGGAAGAAGATGAGTTTGAGGAGGAGGAGGAAGAAGAGAGGGAATCGAGTAGGACAGGTTTTGATGAGAGTCCGGTGAAGAAAACTCCAGAGAAGCCTAAGCTATCAAGAGACCAAAGAGAGTCTCTCAGGCTGAGGAATGTGAAGAGAAAGAAAGACTTCATTTGTTTGGAGAGAGTTAAAGGAAAGATCGTTAACGTAGTTGAAGGGCTTGAGTTGCACACCGGTGTTTTCAGCGCAGTTGAGCAGAAAAGGATTGTTGATCAAGTGTATCAACTTCAAGAGAAGGGAAGAAAAGGAGAACTTAAAGGTAGCTTCTTGCTTCTCTTATCTTCTTTGTGACCTATATATTCAATCTGAATCTTGTCTTGTTCTTTCTCTGTTAGCGCGTACTTATACTGCTCCACAAAAGTGGATGAGAGGCAAAGGACGTGTGACTATTCAATTCGGCTGTTGTTACAATTACGCTATAGTAAGTAAACCCATTCTCTGTTCTTTTATCATCAATCTGTCTCATTCTGACAAAAGAAGTGAAAGAGTCATTGCCTTTCTTGTATATATTAATAGGATAGAGCTGGAAACCCACCAGGTATCCTTCAACGCGAAGAAGTGGATCCATTGCCTTCTCTTTTCAAAGTGATCATTAGAAGGTTGATTAACTGGCATGTGCTGCCTCCAACTTGTGTGCCTGATAGCTGCATTGTCAACATCTACGATGAAGGTGACTGTATACCTCCTCACATCGACAACCACGACTTCCTCCGTCCATTCTGTACCGTCTCGTTTCTCAGTGAATGCGATATCCTCTTTGGTTCAAACCTGAAAAGTGAAGGTCCTGGTGAATTCTCAGGTTCATACTCAATACCGCTTCCTGTGGGGTAAGTTACTTGAGAATCTCCAATATCGAAACTTTTCACCACTCCTTGTCGAATAATGTAAAGTATAAACCAAAACATTGGTTTTTGGGAATTTTTTTTCAGATCAGTTCTGGTGTTAAATGGAAATGGAGCTGATGTAGCTAAGCATTGTGTACCTTCAGTTCCCACAAAAAGGTTATATATCCGTTTCTTCCGCAGTACAAAAACATCAATTCTTTCTCATTTGAGGTTTTTTTTTATTCCTTCAACAGGATATCAATCACGTTTAGGAAAATGGATGAGTCAAAACGCCCGGTTTGGTTCACTCCAGAACCTGATTTGCAAGGGATCGAGCCACTTCCATTGGAGCTGAATCGCTCTGATTCTGCTGCAAGGTCCTCGGGATCAAATAACATAAGAGGGCATGGACGCAGAGGAGGAGCAGGCAACAATTATGCCACGAGAGGCTACTATAATCCTGTGAGAAGCAATCCACAGTATGACTCTGGAGAGTGGTCCTCTAGCCAGAGAAGAGGCAAGCCACGTCCTAGTAGAACCTAAGGTTAATTAAAATAGTACAACTTGATCTTAAGCTGAAATTTATGGCTTGTTCTTTAATTATAACCAATTTTCCACATTCAAAAACTATATATGAACGTCCTGTTTTTTTTCTCCATTCAAACAATTTATTTTCATTTTTCATTTTTTGACCTTATTTGTTAGTTTCTGAAATTGTGTAATGTATATTAGTATTACTGTTTGATAAATATGTAGTTTAAGTGTGAATTGTTTTGTGGTTTGTTTCGCTTTTCTTTTTCTTCCTTGTCAATTTTTCCAACTGATGTGACAAAAGAATTTCGTTCTAACCAATGCATGCATATATATGTGGTAATCGATAATTGATTTGACCAAGTAATCATTCTTCATCTATATATGTTTTTGTGAATATCGTTTCACTCAAAGTAAATACAATTATTTTTTTCAATTTTTCGACTGATCAGAAATTATTGTTTTATCAATTTTATTTGAATTGGGTTAAGTGTTTAAACGGGTCATTTAAACATGTCCGATAAAACCATAATTTGTGATCGGTCGGAAAAATAAAGGATAATTTGTGATCAGTTGAAAATAAAACTGAAAAGGACAATCGTACTTCCTTTTAAATGATCCTTTCTCAAGCACAAAACGTGAATAGAGTGATATTTTCAGTATTTATTATCGATCACTACAATTTGTGACCCGTTTAATGGATTAATTTTTTCATAATCTAAGCACAAACCGCAGATAAAAAACCTAGAACACCGTAATTTGAGATTCATGTTCATGCAAACAAATACCTAATATAAATATAATAGGTGACATCAACCGCTCAATTAGTAAGAATAGTTGGAATAAAAGCGTTTAAAACTATGATTGTAATGAGCGTTTGAAACGGACGTTAAAAGATAATTTAGGGCCTCAGACGGTTAAAAGTTAATTTTCGGATGGTTAGAAATTGTTACAGAAATAGGAGAAGCAAATGAGCGGTTGTAGTCGAAGTTTTTTTTTTAATAATAAAATTTGTAATTTGATATTGATTTTTAATAATAAACTAATAAAATTATTTGATTTTTCTTTGTATGTATATATGTATGTTAGTTTTTTTTTATTATTTCATTCAATTTAATTCACTCAACAAAATAATAATATCATAAAATAGATGTGTTTGTATATTCAAATCAGTCCAAAAAAAAATCAGACATTGGTTATGCATATATTTTTTTAATTGTTTTATAAATTAAAAATTATAAATTATGAGAACAAGTATATGAACGATTTGATGAGACAATGGTTATACATTTTAAAGTTATTAAAAACATTTATCATCACTGGTATTTTTTAGAAAAAATCTAAAATTTGTTATTGTTGATATGTGAATATCGACAAGGGACAAAACAATATCTTAGATTGAAATTCTGGATTTTATTAAGATCTGTCAAAAATACAACTGAGTTCGTTTATATGATAATAACAAACGAACTAAGACTTAAGAAATCAAGAAGCTAATGAATGCCTTGAGCTCTTAATCTCCAAGTCTCTCCAGGATTTCTTGTCCTTCTGGTGTCGATTCTTCTTCCTTTATGTCTCCTAAGTCGGTCTTCGTGAGTTTTTTCTGTGATATGGGACCGAGAAGACTTTCCTTTTCTCTCGGCCGTTTTCTTTTTTTCATGTCAATTTCCTTTCTTCTCGTAAGTTTCCTTTTTCTACTCGGAAACTTTCCTTTTTCCTCCGAACTCAGAGAACTTCTTAGTTCCTTTGAGAAGTTTCTGACCGACAGTTTGTTAGCCCCCCCCCCTTCAGTTCGATAAAAGGGTACGGCTTTTAGTCGAACTCATTCTATCTAAACCTAAATGCAGGTAGCAAACCGAGCTCGGTAACTACAATCGATTCACATTCCCGGACGTTTCGCACTCTATCTTCAATGAGGCGCGTGAATTCCGGGATTTCGCGAAAATCAAGGAACCACGATTCCCACTGTTTATAAAGGAATAACTTCTTCTCGTATTCATTATTCTCGTTCAAGCATATATAAGGTACGCTGCTCTCCCTTCTCTCTAGATTTTTTTCTCTCTCTAGGTTTTTATTCGTAGTTCTCTCTAGTTTCTTCAACTTTCTCCGCCCCAATCTCTTGAATTTTCCGATCGATCTTCAAGTTTTCCGATCAATCTTCAAGTTCTCCGATCGATCTTCAAAGTGTTTTTCATTCCCTTCAGATCCCCTTTTGATTCTATTTTTCCGAGCTCGAGATGTCTTCTAGCTCTTCGATCAACTCTTCCTCTAATCAAATTCTGCCGGAAGATCATCGCGAATCTTCGGAGCCGAGCTCTTCTTCTTCAAATCCTCATTCACCGAACTCTTCTCAGCGGGAGAGTAATCCTCCGCAGCTGGTTCGCAAAACTTCTAGATCGGCTGGTGCAAATAGTAGCCGATCTCGACCGCGAGTTGAAGCACCCGAGCAATTGGCAACAGAGACTCGTGAAACTGAAGCTCGAGCTGGGCCAAACGCTGATGGCGTTAACCACGAGATCGAGGAGGTTGCGGAATCTGAAGAAGAGAATCTCGAGGAGAACGCTACCGAAGTACAAGCTGCCGATGGCAATCTTGAAGCAGTGAACTACGCATCACCACCAATTCCAAAGCGGAGAGTTGTCGTCCTCATGACGTGCCGTCTTCTTCACTTTCTCCGGGTGCAGTTCAGGCCGTACTCGAAGAAAACGGGCTCTCAGATAGGGTCATCTTCATAACTCCTGAAGCTGGAGATCGGCCATGGGATGTTCCCGAAGGTTTCCTTTGCATCTACTTGACATACTTCACGCAATGCGGGCTCTCTCTTTTAATTTCCTCTCGTCTACTCGGATACTGCAATCGGCGTGGCGTAGCTCTCACTCAGATGATACCGGCATCGATAACGAACTATGTTGGCTTCGTTACTCTGTGTACCGAGCTCGATGAGATTCCGACTAGTTGGCTCTTCGAAGACCTCTTCTCGGTCAATATCCACAAGTCCAAGGAGTGGTTCTTCGCAGCGAACGCCAAGCCGAGAAAGAACATTGTCACTGGGGTCAAACCCAGTAAATATAACGACTGGGAATCCCAGTACTTCTTCCTCGAGATGAAGGATCTCACAGTCAACAATTCTGACATCCCAACTCAATCAGAGTGGAAAATTCCGATCGGTAGATATAGATGATCTTATACTTCGTTGATTTTTGTTTTCGTATCTCTCTAACTCTTTTTCGGTTCATCTTTGCAGGTCGTCATCTCCCAAGCATTCTTCTCAATTCTGGACTCACTTCCGAATTCAAAGCAGCTTTTAGTGAAGCCGGCAAACGCCGTTGGCCCGAAGTTTAGGAAGAAATTCTTCAACGCCGAGCTAAAAAAGCAGGTTTGATTATTGAGTTCACTTCTATTTTCCTATTTTGAGTTTTTTTCCGAACTCTTCCTTATATTTTTTACAGCTTCTGTTAAGGAACAGAAGCCCCCGAAGCCAAAGAGTCGAGCAAACAAGCCTCGAGCTGCTCCCAGACGCAAAGCACCGAAACCGCAAGCTAGACGAGCTCGAACTGCCAGGATGCTTTCACTAGACGAGATCCCCACTCTGTTCGATGAGGAGAAACCGAACGTTGCAGATCCGGCTCCTATCCCTGTCGCTGAAGGGACTAACGAGCAGCCCGAAGAACTGCCGCCTGCTGCGAACTCGCCCGACCAGGCTGGTCACAAGAAGCTGAAAAGGAAGAGATCCTCGAAGAAAATAAAGAGGATTGAAGGTTCTTCTCGTACGCAGGATGCCACCGCCGAGCTCGATCCTCCGACGGCTGCAACGTCGGACCTCGCGATTCCTCAGGATCAGCCTGAAGCCTCCAACTCCCGGAAGAGGCAAGATAGGGGTCATGCCGAAGACTCTCCGAAACCAGAGCCAGCCAAAAGGACTAAGGTGTGTTTCGATTACGATGAGGAAGGTCCTTTTGAGGAGAACGTCGTCGCTTGTGCCGACCTTTAGCACAAGATCTCCACTAAGGTTCCGAGTCTCCCGGAGATCTTCGAGCTCCGGTTCCCTAAACTGTACAAAGGATCGCGCGTACAACTGTCGTGGTAACTTCCTGATTTCATTCTTCTATTGTTTCTTTTCCTAAGTATGAGTTCTGACTGTTTTTTCTCTTTCGCAGCTCGCCAGCTAGACCAACAATTTGGTTGCGGCATATGAGGTTGCTCTGTACGATGAACAGGTCAGGGTCTCGGAGCTGGAAGAACACATTTCTAAGGCTGAGGAACGTCTCGCCACCGAGCTCCAGATAAACGACAGTCTTCACACTGCTGTCGACTTTCTGAAGCGGGAGAGTTCGGAGCTTAAGGCAGTGAGAGCCGAACTGACCGAAGCTCAGACCTTGCTTTCTCGGGAATTCGAGAAAGATAAGGAGCGATTGCAGGGTTTAGTGGCTCACTGGAAGAGTCGAGCAAAGAGCGTTCACGCGAAGGCCTGCGAACGCTTAGAGAAGGTCATCCGAAGCTTGGATGATGCTAATCGGGCTCGTAAGCCATACTTGGTGGTCAACCAGCTTACCGGAGTTTTGGGCTTCATCAAACAGCTGAAGAAGAAGGGTCTGTACGAAGTCCCGCCCGAGATGGTGGCCGAGATCGAGGCGAAGCATGCTAAGGCGCTACAAGACTTCCGTTCGGTTGATGCTTGCGTTCTCACAGAAGAGGATAAACGAATGTCTCCGTTTTCAGAAGATGATGATGATGCTCCGGTTGGGAACGTGACTCAAATTGTGCAGGATCCGGCGAGAGGCGAGCAGTTCGGCTCAAATGATGATATACTTTATGCCGATCAAGCTGCGACTTCGAAGACTGTTTAGTCTTTTTACTTTTTCCTTTAAGTCGAACTCAATTGCCCTTTAATGGGTTATTTTATATGTTTATGTAATATTTTGTTTATTTCTGAACCCTCGGTGGGTTTTTAAATTTATTTGCCTTTCGGAAGGCTTTATGATATGCTTTTTCGTTCTATTTGCAGAAGTATCTTTTTCTTAATTCTTTCTTAAGTCGGCTTATATGTGCAAGTGTTGAGAACTTGGCTTATAGTGCGAATCTGAGGAGTTTGGCTTGTTGTGCAAGCATTTGAGCTCAGCCTGGGGAACCCAAGTGAGTCGTATCGTACTGGAAGAGTGAGTTTGGTCGAACTCTTGTAAGCGCACGAGACGAGCTCAAGGTTTTCTAAGTCGAACATAACTATTGCGAGATGGGCTCTGCTTATTGTTCTTGGTGACTTAGAATTTTTATTGCGGGACTGGCCCCGGCTTTTTAACGTGGTTTTTACCACGGCACCATGTGGGTGTTCGCGAGATGGATCTCGGCTTCTTAAGTTTGCATTCATGTGGAATGCTATCGAACACTTGGCCAGGAAGTCGATGTTAAAAAAGTAGGAGTTTTAGTATGTGATTACCAAACTAAAACTTAGACATTTTTACTTAATAAAATTTTATTGATGTTATAGCTGGACTCGGTAACGAGCTGCCTACGTAATCTTTAAAAAGGGATCAAGCCATTCGTATTTCTAAGTACAAAAAGGTTTTTCGCTCCGAACTAAGTAGTTCTCGTACGGGACGCCGTGTCGGCAGATGATGAATTTCCAGACGAACTTTTTGACGTTGATGCTGTGTATCTTGGGGTATGCCTCGGCTTCGACCCATTTGGTGAAGTAGTCGGTAACGACCAGAACGTATTGCTTTTGGGTTGTAAATCGGCGAAATGGACCGATGATGTCCATTGCCCAACGCATGAAAGGATATGGTGCAGTCGAGGTCATCAGTAGTTCAGTAGGAAGGTTGGTCATCGGGCCATGACGTTGGCACTTTTCTCAGCGTGCGGTATACTTTTCGCAGTCGGAAAGCATAGTAGGCCCGTAATAACCGGCTTTTTTTATCTTAAATGCCAAAGACCGAGCTCCAGAGTGATTTCCTCCTTCTCCTTCGTGTACTTTCTGCATAACTTCCATGATGTCGTTGCCGTGAACACAAGTCAAAAGTACACCGGACGCGTCCCATCTAAGGAGAATGCCTTTAATAACTATGTATCGAGCTGCGCGAGCCTTAAGGTGTTGAACTGCCCATTTTTCTGCGGGAACCGTTCCGTCGCCAATGTAGCCCACAATCTCTAAAGTCCAATGTTTGGGCTCATCTTCGCCCTCGGCTTCGATATCGATTGGAACGTGTTGGCCTTCGTATTCGTCTTCGTGATCGGACTCGTTGTTGTCTTGTTCGTTCATTTCAGTATCGAGATCGGTGACAACTTCCTTAGGCTTTGTCTTTCGGGTGAGGGGTGGAGCTAGGTTGGGTCGGGCTTCGTAATCGCGTCGTCTTGTAACGATGTTGCAGCTTGGAGCGGGCTCGATACTAGGTCGTTCGATTGCCGCGATTGGGATTGTTCGTCGGAGATTGGGATCGGAGTTAGTTGCAAGGGCGGCCAGGGCGTCAGCGGTTGCGTTCTCATCACGCGGTATTTTTGTGAGCTCGAGGGTCGAGAATTCCGAAGCAATATCTTTAAGGACTTTGAGGTACGCATCCATACGATCATTCTTGGCTCCGTATTCGCCGTGAAACTGGTTAGCCACGAGTTGAGAGTCGCAGTAGGCGTGGACGTGTTCGGCGCCGATTCTTTTGGCGAGTCGTAGTCCGGCAATTAGCGCTTCATATTCGGCTTCGTTGTTAGATGTCGGGAAGCCAAGGCACAATGATTGTTCGATGACCTCGCTTTCAGGAGATTTGAGATGAATCCTGATGCCAGATCCTTTATGGGAAGAGGAGCCATCGGCATGGAGGATCCAAGGCTGTACGGCCGGGTTTGCATCGACGAGCTCAGGCGGGAGTTCGACCAAGAAATCTACCAAGACTTGGGACTTCGTTGCAGTCCTTCCTCTGTATTCGATATCATATTCGCTAAGTTCAATGGCCCATTTGGCGAGTCGGCCGGATTGACTTGGGCTGTGAAGGAAGGTACGAAGAGGATGGTCGGTTAGGACAACGATCGAATGCAACTGTAAGTATGAGCGTAACTTTCGTGCGGAGATAACCACGGCGAAGGCAAATTTCTCCAAGGTTGGGTAGCGATACTCCGATCCATCGAGGGACTTACTTGTGTAGAAAATTGGCTTCTGCTCGCCCCAGTCTTCTCGAACTAGGACACTGCTGACCGTATACTCCGAAATCGCGATATACAGGTAGAGTGTTTCGCCAGTTTCGGGCTTAGATAGAATTGGCGGCGTAGACAAGTATTTCTTAAGCTTGGAAAACGCTTCTTCGCAGTTCTCGTTAAATTCTAGATGCTTGTTACCACGGAGAAGTTGATAGAACGGCAAGCACTTATCTGTCGATCTGGATATGAATCGATTAAATGCTGCAATGCATCCGGTTAGTCGCTGGACTTCTCGTTTGGTTGTCGGGTACGGGAGCTCGAATATAGCTGCGATCTGTTTCGGATTGGCTTCAATGCCGCGCTGTGTGACTATGTATCCGAGGAACTCGCCGGACGTTACGCCAAACGTGCACTTAGTGGGATTGAGCTTCATGCCATATTGGTCTAGAATATCGAAGCACATGCGAAGATGGCTGACATGATCGGAAGCGACGAGTGACTTGACGAGCATGTCGTCAATGTAGACTTCCATAGTTCGTCCGAGCTGGCTTGCGAACATTCGGTTGACCAGGCTTCGGTACGTTGCTCCAGTGTTCTTCAAACCAAAGGGCATAACTTTGTAGCATTATATGCCACAGTCCGTGATAAATGATGCATAAGAATCTGGTTGTACGCGGAGAATGCGTCCATAAAAGAGAGTAGTTTGTTTCCGGCAGTTGCTTCCACGAGGCGGTCGATATGAGGCAAGGGAAAGCTGTCTTTCGGACATGCTTTATTGAGGTCGGTGAAGTCGACGCAAATCTTCCATTTGCCGTTCTTCTTTTTTACGACCACGAGATTTGCTAGCCAATCAGGGTACTTGACCTCAGTGATGGATCCTGCCTTGAGTAACCGCTCAACCTCATAGTTGACAGCTTGTGCCTTCTCTGGTTTGAGTTTTCGGCGTTTCTGCTTGATCGGTTTGTATGTCGGATCAATATTGAGCTCGTGGCAAGCGATTGGTAGATCGATCCCGGGCATATCCTCTACTGACCATGCAAAGGTGGATGAATGTTGTTTCAGAAAGTGAACGAGTGTTTCGCGGATACTTTGGTCGAGTTCCGCCGATGCCTACTTGACGCTCTGGCCTTAGTTCGTCGATGCAGACTTGAATAATCGACTCTTGCTTGGGTTTGTTTGCTGGACAATGAGCTCGGTCGTCGGACCTTGCGAACTGATAACGCAGGCTTGGTTGGCCGAACGAAGCTTGCATTCGTGTATGTAACATGATCGGGCGACGGCTTGGTTTCCTCGGAGAGTGTAAACACCGTCAAGAGTTGGGAATTTCAGGCATTGATGGTACGTTGAAGCCACTGTCTTCATCGCATGTAACCACGGTGTGCCGAGAATAGCGTTGTAGATCGCTGGTTTGTCAAGAATAAGGAACTGAATGATCTTCGCAACTCCGGCGAGGTAGATCGGGATTTTGACTGTGCCGACCGTCATGCAGCGTTCGCCGTCGAACCCTGTTAGTGGCTCGATGAAGGGCTCAATCTTGTCTGATGGTATGTCGAGCTGGTCAGGTGCGTCCTTGAAAATAATGTTGACCGAACTGCCCGTATCGATCAGAATGCGACTTACTTCAACGTCGTCGAGAAGTAGTTCGACGACGAGGGCGTCGTTATGTGGTTTATGCAACCCGATTGTGTTGGCTTCGGTAAATATCAAAGGTATTCTCTTTGGCGGATCGTGTGGGAACTTAGGCGCATTGGCGGCCTGTCTACTGTATTCCTTGATGGCTCGAACCGAATAGCTGCAGACTTCTATAACTCCCATAATCATGTTGACGCGCTTCCTTGCTTTGGGAGTGTGATTTTCTGGCGCGCAGTCATCACGATTGCGCTTCGGTTGTTAGGGTAAACCAGGTGGATTCGGTGGAGGCGGCGGTAATGCTGGTAAAGCTGGCGGAGCTGGTGGATCTTTGGCGACGGTGTTCTCGGGTGGTACGTTATTCGGTCGAGGCGACTTGCTTCTTAGAACGTTTGAGCGACGGAGATCGTCGAGCGAGATTTGCCCTTTTCGATATTGTGCGAGCAGGTATTCCCGCAGATGTTTGCAGTCTTCGGTGCTATGTCCTTTACGGTTATGGAATTCACAAAACAAGGACTCGTCTTGATCTTCTTCACTGCAGACCCAGTTATTAATCCACTGTCTGGCCGATTGCTGGATGGCATTAGCGTAGAACTTCTTGCGATTCTCGTACCCTCTATTATAGCCTGACTGTGGTTCGTTATTGGTGGCCTTCGGACGTTCGGGCTGCTTCGCCTGATAGTTCTGCTCATAAGCGCCCTCTTCTTCTTCTTCGGCTATGTAAGTATTAGCTCGGTGCAACGCGTTCTCCAAGGTCTGTGGGGGGGGGGGGGTTGTGAGTGATCGCGCTCCGGAAGCTAGTTTTTATCCAATCTCCTTTCTGGAGACATAAGAGAGCAGCTTCATCACTGATCGTGCAAGTGGCGACAATCGTCTTAAAACGTTGAATGAAGTCACGGGGGCTCTCGCTTGCTCCTTGGACTATCTTCCATAGCTCGGAGTTCTTGGTGTTTTGGCCGATGAACATTGAGAAATGTTTAACAAAGGCCGTCGTCAGCTCCTTATAGTTATTTATTGAGTTCGCCTCGAGTCGTGAGAACCAGTCGAGAGCTATTCCTCCTAGACTCTCGACAAACAGCTGGCACTGGACCGCATCCCTCTCCTCAGCGGATTTGAACTGGTATCGATTCATGCAGATGCCGAATGATGTCAAAAAATGCTGGGGATCGGTATTGCCTTCATCTTGATCTTGAGTTTCTCCATATGTTTGACAGACGTTCCCGCTATGCGCGGCGTAAAGGGTGTCTTTGTGTTTCCTGAATGACGCGCTCGATTTCCGGGGCCGCGCTCGTTGCTTGCTGAATTTTTGAAGTGATCTCGCGAAGTTGTGCCTTCATTGCCTCGAACTCGGTATCGCGACTTAGATCTGGTGGCGATGGTGCGTTCGCCGATCCGACAGCAGTGGACCGCATAGTTCCGGCTGGGTCGCCATCTGTATTGAGGTCGTCGATGATGTTCTGAACTCGAAGGGGAGTCCGTGCTTGACTGAGCTCGGCGATCTGTGCAGCCATCTGACTGAAGCGTTCTTCGCTCCTTTTGTGGATAGCTTTGAACTGAGCGTTGAACACTTGAAGCAGCAGTTCGGTTCCAAAACCTCCTACGGCTGCGGGAGTTTGGTCGGCTTCTGTTCCAGTGTTTTCCCTAGGGGTTCCTCCTGTCTGTTCCGCGGGAGTTCGGATGTTGCCGTTCTCTTCGCCGAGAGGGTTTCCTTCCTCATGGATGTTGGCTTGGTCTGTCATCGCTGATCCGATCTCTCCGGAATCCGATCTAAAACTGAATATTCTGTTAAGCCCCCTACCTGGCGAGCCAATTGTTGATATGTGAATATCGACAAGGGACAAAACAGTAACTTAGATCGAAATTCTGGATTTTATTAAGATCGGTCAAAAATACAACTGAGTTCGTTTATATAATAATAACAAACGAACTAAGACTTAAGAAATCAAGAAGCTAATGAATGCCTTGAGCTCTCAATCTCCAAGTCTCTCCAGGATTTCTTGTCCTTCTGGTGTCGATTCCTCTTCCTTTATATATGTCTCCTAAGTCGGTCTTCGTGAGTCTTTTCTGTGATATGGGACCGAGAAAACTTTCCTTTTCTCTCGGCCGTTTTCATTTTTTCATGTCAATTTCCTTTCTTCTCGTAAGTTTCCTTTTTCTACTCGGAAACTTTCCTTTTTCCTCCGAACTCAGAGAACTTCTTAGTTCCTTTGAGAAGTTTCTGACCGACTTCGGCTTGATGAGCTATGTTCGGCCCAAGAATTCATTCAGCCCAATATTCCCGATACATTTCCTTCGTAAACCGGGCTTACGTCGTGCCGATCTTGGTTTGTATCGGAGAAAACCGGGGGTGCGGTTGTTACCTCCAACAGTTACGCTTAATCTCCTTCCAAAAAAAAATGTGCATGTATTCATGTCCATCGACAAAAATATAAAAAAATCTCCTTCCAGAATTATAAATTATGAAAACAAGTATATGAATGATTTTATGAAACAATAGTTATGCATTTTAAAGTTATTAAAAACATTTATCATCACTGATATTTAAAAAAAAAAAAAAAATTGCTATGCTTAATCTATGTCCAAAAAAAATTGTGCATATATTCATGTCCTCGACAAAATAATTAAAAATCGATTATGTATTTCAAATTTATCAAAAACTTTTTCATAATAGATATTTGTTTTAAAAAAGAAAATTTAAATTTTTTATGCAAGTTTCATATGATTAAGTTTAAACTATGAATTATTATATTATTTTATAAATAATTATCTAAATAAAGTTGTACTAATAATTTTATACATTTACATTATTTAACCGCTGTAATGCTACCAATCAAACTCAATTTTTTAACAGCATTCTGTTAAGCAAACATTCTTTTGCAACCACTGTCTCTAATCGTCTTTTTTATAAGCGTTTTTGATACAACCGCTCAAAATTCTTTAACTGTTTTGTTCAAACGTGGTCATTAATCGGACCCAACGTATGAGAACGAGTCGAGAAATTCCAATATATAATTATTATTATAATTTTAAAAATTGCACAATATATACAACAACAACAAAAAAAAGATTTACAAGTTGCACAAGTGAAATGAAGAAAAGAGAGAGGGACATAATGAAATAACACGTGGGCTTAGGGATCTAAGAATCTCTTTCTTAAAATCCATAGAAAGAGAGAAGAAAAAAGTTTTGGCTACTATCGAGTATGACACTTTATATCAATGAAAAGCGCCGATGTGTTCTTATATATGAGATATGGAATGATCTTCTCATCTCAAATCCCTATTCATTTTTTTATAAACATCATCATTCCCTTTTCTACCATTTTCCCACTTTCTAACTATTCATCCTACCCTTTTTCTTGATATAAATTGTAACTTTTTGGTACTTTAAAAACCAGGCATGATGCATCTCTATGCTGATTCCTTGTCTGCGTTTTTAAACGTGAACGCAAGTTTTATAATTATAGTTAAAACAAATTAGAATGAATTTTAAAATTTTATTATTATATGTTGGATACTTGGATTGATAGGGGAGAGAAAGCGAGAACAGAGAGGATGAGAAAATGATTACCCGTAAGAAAAGGAAAGCAAAAAAAGCAGCTTTGATGTGTTGTTGTTGATTTGGATAAAAGGGATGTGTGTGTGTATGTGCATACTGCATACAAAACACCTTTTCATATTATCCCATCACAAAGTATTGATCTGTCTTCTGTTGAATTGATCTTGACCATTTATCATTCCATATAACGAACCCTGATTTTTTAGTTATGATACTGTTCTTAATTGAAAACAAAAAACTCTGAATTTTGTATTGTGTTCTTCACTTCTTATGGAGACATTCAATGATAAAAAAAAACCAAAAATTTAAGAACATGTTATATTTTTAAGGGTTTAATGTTTTAGAACACCTGTAATTTTTTAAAGGATCACATTTCTTTTTAGATAATGGTTATATCTTTAAAATTATCAAATAATATTACTTTTATTAAATAATTGTTTTTTTAGAGAAAATAATAATATAATTTTACATACTTCAAAAAGTGAATATAATAATAATAAATAAAATTCTTGATTCAGACCATTGTTTTCATTTGACCTAACCAATCATGCGCATAATTTTTAAGATTTGGAACCATTTGTACTTAGTACGCTACAAAACATTAGACAAAAAACAAACGTGGAGATATATGAAAAAATAATATCAAAATATTAATATTGGTACAAAGTGATAAGAGAGGGGTTGTGGTGCTTCGTACAAGAATTAGCTTGTGACCAATGATGTTTGCTTATAGTTCTGGTCGGCTAGACACTTTCTCTCTTGATGGTCTCATCAATTTGATCAACTACAACCGAATCCGCCTCATGTGCATATCTCTGAACTTACGATCTCAAATTCTTAAATTCCTGAAAAAATACGATAATTAGTATATGAGTAATATGAGTATTCTGTTTTTTTTTTTAATTAAAGATACGATCTTTGTACAAACAATATTCTTTGCACGAGGGACCAGTAGAAGGATGGGGTTAGTTTGTATAATATGTGATTATGAATCAAGGTAGTTCAGAGATATCATAAGCAAAAATAAATTCAGGGATATTCAAATAATTTTTCTTGATTAAGAAAACGCTTTCCAATCAAATTAATCATTAATAATTGAAAACATGATCTCTCTCCTCACATTTTTCATCTTTACCACAGTCGAAGGCAATGATCACTCTTCTCTAACTTTCTAGGAAACTAACACTTTGCTTTTTCTTTCACTCTTCTTTTATCCTATTCCTTCTTAGAAAAAATGTACATGCAGTCATGCACTACAATATAATAATCATAGTTATAACCCCTTTTATAAAATATGTAAACCAAAATCTGACTTTCAAACAATTTATTTTCTAATTTTTAGTACTTTTCATTAAAAGTAATTATTTTAATGAAATTTTACATAACTAATGTTAGTGGATCTTATAAGAAATTTTGCATAACTAGTGTTAGTGGATCTTATAAGAAAATTAGTAGAGTATGTTGTAGGTTGGCAGAAAAAATGGGATTTTTGCTATCTATAAAAATTATGTAGATTTGATCATAGGAAACACAATTCTTCTATTATGCAAATTATCAGTCTATACTTAAAACCGTATAGTATTTCCTTTTTGAAGTCGTCATCTGCGTTGAATATTCTATGCAATTTTTCTCAATCGGTTTACAAACTTATATAATCAATATAAATAGGTAAAAAAGAGACAGTGAGAGAGGGAGAGATAAGTAATAAATAGTCACAACCACCAATGTAATTGGTGCAGTTGTGTGGTGAGAGGTACTTCTCCATCCAAAATAAGAAGCTTACAACAAGAGACACACACCGTTTCATATGATGTAATATTCCATCTTTGAAACCATATGTATGCATGTAAAAGCATATCATCATTGATTCATCCATATGTTGTACGTTGTGTGTGTTTGAATGAATATAATATGATGATGAAGATGTGTGTTGTTGTTGATGATGATGATGATGAACTAATTCTCATGAATTCACTTCATTTATTGCTTGCATTCCATTTACGTTATCGAAGAGCGTGCTCTTTCTTCGACAGTGAAATTCCTTCTGCACCACTCTCTCTCTCTCTCACTCTTTATTTTTAACATTCACTCTCTCTATTAATCTTTTAGCTCTTCTTCTACTTATTAAATTAATTAATAGTTCATTTCACAATATTTGATTTTTTTTTTACTTTTTGACACAGATTTAAAAAAATTATTGTTTAATTATAAATATCTTATTTTCTCTCACTAAACATTTTTCTATGGTTATGAACCAATCATAAGTCATCAAATTCAAATATTTTCAGTTAATAACTCTTAAAATTAATCATTTATTAACAATATAAATTTTAATATTAGAATAAAAACGCAAGAAATCCACAAGGCATATTAGTTTACATAACAATAAGAATAAAAATGCAAGAAATCCAATATTGTGAAACAGAATTATATTAGTTTACATGAATTTTGATTTTCCTTTGATTTTTAAGATGATAACATAAAACTCTAAATATGAAGATTTAAATTGGCATGATACATTTAGAATGCGTGTTAAGCAAGTCTTGATGAATTGAAAATCAATGCATATTGGTACTGGTAACACACAAAAATGTCTAACTATGGTACGTCGAATTAATTAAACAATTCAATAAATGCACTATATATAAACAGTGTAACGTAAGGTGTAAATAGCGAATAACATATGACAGACTGAATATAAAGCTCGGATCGTAGAGGGGACCATGCATGTTCCAAACCCTATATTTCTTCCCATTAATTTCCGGGAAATCAAACTATTATGTTTTAAGAAGAAAATAAATAATTATAAATGTTTTCATGAAATTAGGGCTAAAGTACAAACAAAAACTAATGATGCCCTAACGAAAATGAAATCTCTGCAATAAAGAAGAGTTGTTTTTAGGGGCCACGTAGACATTAGTTACAAAAAGCTCTGGGTGTTTTAGCCCTCCTGCCTCTTCAACAGTACTTTACGACAATGTAAAAGATCGTGAGGCGTAATTTAAGATCCTCTGTTTCTCACTGCATGCTTGTTACCGTACGCACTCATAGGAGATTAAAATTTAAAAATCAAAGGATCTATAAAGGATATGTATACTATAAGACCATGCATTATGCATATATGTTCATGTAGTTGCTTGTGTAGATATATATACAATTATATTTTTTTTTTTTTCACAATCCAAGTTAGTTAGTGTTGTATCGTTCGGTGTAATGGCCGGGCGGAAGTAGATAATTAGATAGAAAAAATGTCAAAAAGATGTATACATTGAAACTACTCGTATATTTATAAACTTCTCTAGTTATCAAAATCATCAAAAGCTCCATACGATCTTTAACAGAAAAAGAGATATTTTGTAAGAAAGCTCAGAAACAGTAAAACTCGTTTAACTGATTGATAAAATATGTTTGGAAGTTTATACAAATATCGTACTGTATCGTTTAAATATCATTAGGATTAATCATGAGGTAAAAAATATATTCCTAAAACAAATTACAAACCTATTCTTTGTTAAATTAGTTGAATACAATTCAATACTTTATCCGATTGGCTAAAACTAAAGGAATCGGATTTTAGATGAAACCGGGTTTATGGACGATGAAAATGTTTGGTTAGCTAGGGCAACTCCCTATAAGATTCCAAGACTTCGATCCATAATTTTGTTTTCCAAATAATAGTTACAATATAACTGGTTTGTCAAAAGATTGTTTGTTCATGGTGTTGCTTTGCGCGTTAAATGTATTAATATTGGTCATGAATCCGAGAAATCATGGGAGACTCTAGGCAACTATACTACGTATTAGCCTAGCAACTTTGGTGATCCGATTTCTGAATTATCAATTTTTTGAATTGAACAAATTATCATCGACCGTATCTTTAGAGTTTAGACCCGTTTCCCACAAATTTTGTAGCTCCCATGAAGAAATACTCAATTTTTTATGTTTTAGTTCAAAGTTTCCCTGCATATTTTAAGATTGGCTCTTATGTAGAGCAATAACATTCTACGAAGGTTGTCTATTTTTATTTTTCGATTAAAATTAATGTCATATTCTTAATCAACTAACAAATCTATATAGATAAAAGCAAAGCTATTAAACTTGTAAAACCAAAAAAATTAAAATGACATATTTCTACAAAGATTCATTCCCATGCATATAAAGTCGAGCATATCACAACATTCTCTTTAACCATTTAACTAAAAAGAAAACTCTACATTTTCATAAGAACATCAGTCTCAGTTGTTCTACACACTGTATTTGTCAGATACTAATTTATTAAAAAGATCAGCAGTACATTTATATTCATAGTATAGCTATTGTCTGTTGATATCTTAAACTTCTATTACATACTGTACAAAAAAAACACTATTTTCATAACGAGGGGTTTTCTGATTAAACTATTCACAAATCACATGGTTGTCATATTAGCGTTCGTCCAATTATTACAATTAATGCAACGTTGATATTTCGTGGTTTTGCGTTTTAAATGGAATCTACTGTTTTACACAAAATATAAACATTCGTATTTTTGTAAGTGTTATATAATCTTTGTTATATTTGATTCATACATTTCTAAAACCCGCGCGAAGATCTAAGACTAAACCTGAAAAAAAAAATCAAACGTAGTAAGACAATTAAAGCTCGGGAATTTTATTGTATTTCCAAAATACATAATTAAAATTCACTGGAATGGAAAAAATTACGTATATATGTACCATATATAATGGTCATATGGGAGGAATAATTATAATAATTTGTAATTTTGTGAGACGTGATCAAATTTAATCAGTACGAGAGAGCTGCCTTAACGAATTATCAAACAGTATTCATTTTTTATCCCCCAAAAAATATACATTCTTTCATTCCTACCATTAAAAAATATGTTTTATTTTATTGTTATTATTATTTTAAATGTATTGTGTGTATGGGTAAAAATCTTTCATACGTAGACAGATACAGAACAATTAAAGCTGGTGAAGTAATAATTAGAAGAGACAGAGAAATTGAAAAAATTTGGAGTTTGTTTTTCGTCTAAGTAAATACCGATGATGCCCTCACCTTTCTAATTCCCTCATTTGTCCCTTTCCTTTTTCATGTTTATTTCTAACTTCTCTGTCTCTTTCAATCCTTCTCCACCAGATATCCTCTGATTCGATGATCCCCACCGATATTTTACAAAACAAATATTTATTTTCACTAAATCAATAAATTCTCCAAGAGTAGTTTCAGTTTTTTTTTCTTTTTCTTTTTAAAGAACATACAGTAAAATTTCTATAAATTAATAATGTTAAAACTATAAAATTTTATTAATTTATCGTGATATTAATTTATCTATAAATTAATAATTATTAATTTATAGAGATAATCTGGTTTTCACTTATAATCTTCTAAAAAATTATTTCGAATAATGTTGTATCTAAGAATTTAAACAAAAATTTTATTAAAAATTATAATTAATAAACATTAAAAATTATAATTAATAAACATATTTATAATAACAAAATAGTTTTTAATAGCATATTAATTTGTCTATTAAAAATATACATGTTGAAAAGTTCAATATTTATAAGAAACGATAAGTATTATAAAAAAGATGAAATTGAAGATAATACTATAATACATTTGTAAACATTTACATGTAAAAAAATCAATTATCACATGAAATTTTTTTTTCACAGTTTTAAATGTATACCGAAAAACAATAATAAGAGACAGAGATATAATAAGTAAAAAGATGAACACCAATGAAATTTCAACTTTAAGTAAAAACAAATACATTGATCATATTTTAGTACATATTTGTATAAATTTATACAATTATTAATTTATGTTTTTGTTGGAACCATATATTTATATAGAGTTTTCAAAAAAAATTATTATTTTATTATCTTATCGAATTTGATGAAATTTTACATTGGCCCGACTTGGGACCGGCAAAACTTATTATTTTATAGTGATTATTAATTTATAGAATATTAATTTATAGAGATTTTACTATATATACTTCATGGTTATAGAATTCTAGCACATTTTAAAATTTTAATATCGTTAACTAAAATTTTGGATGTGTTTATCTATAACTATGAAGTATTTTTTTTTTCGTTTAAGTAACATTATATTCGAATATAACCTAAGCACATTAGCTTAGGTTAAGTAATACTAATGCTAATCGAATTAAACTTTTAAAACAAATCAAAACTCAAAATATTGTTTTTCCTTTTGACACCTATATTCTTTTACATACGAAATTTCTTCATAAATGTATAGTTATATTCTCATATCCAAAATGAACATTTTGTGTCATCTACTCACTCTTGTATTCCATTTTTGTTTCCTCTAGGTCACATATATGCATTAACTGATATTATCTAATTTGGTAATTAATTATAAAGCCATACATACAATCGTATTGAGTCACGACCTTTAAATTATCATATAGAAATAGACTAATAGTTAGTAAGCATTTTGTGAGTCGTTTCATTATATTCAAATAGAGTTTTGTATGTGTAAAATCAAATCTACATGCATAAAAGATTGAATAACTGATTTTTTTCAGAATATTGCAAAAAACTTTTATTGGGTCCCCATCTGTGTATATATAACTCAACACCTTATTCTCTCTTTATCTATATCTCTCCCACATAGAAAACCTAAAAGCTCTCTTGCTAAGTTCCTTTCTTGGAAAAGTAAAATTTACTTTCTCTCTCAAGATCATTGTCTTGTTCTTCCTCTCTAGTCTTGATCCTATAATTTGAAATGGAGCCACCGCAACATCATCAACATCATCAAGCCGACCAAGAAAGCGGCAACAACAACAAGTCCGGTTCTGGTGGGTACACGTGTCGACAAACCAGCACGAGATGGACACCGACGACGGAGCAAATCAGAATCCTCAAAGATCTTTACTACAATAACGGAGTCCGGTCACCAACAGCCGATCAGATCCAGAAGATCTCTGCAACGCTGAGACAGTACGGAAAGATCGAGGGCAAAAACGTCTTTTATTGGTTTCAGAACCATAAGGCTCGTGAGCGCCAGAAGAAGAGATTCAACGGCACGACCATGACCACCACACCAACGTCCTCATCGCCCAACTCTGTAATGATGGCTAGTGATCATTTTCAGCATAACCATCATCATCCTCTTCTTCACCATAACCATCATCATCATGGCGTTACCATGCAGAGACCTGCTTCGTTCAACGTTAAACGTGACCAAGAAAATCATCTGCTTCATCAGAACAGATCATATCCCAGCTTCAATAACGGTGACTAATATTCTTATTGACGCCTATATGCTTTTATTTTCATGAATTTTTTTCCGATGACTTTGATAAACAAATATTTAAGTTAATACTACGAACCGTTTACAGCACTAGTTATTAAAAAAGATATTAAAAAACCTAAGAACATATGAGCTTAATACATACATATATATATATATGTAATGACATGTAATTTTTTAAAAATGTTGTTCTTAATGAATTTACTCACATAGTTTTTCAAATGTTTATTGTACATATTACTAGCTAGGAAGAATTTACACCACTAGCTATTAATTACATGTAACAAATTGATAAAAGAAGAAAATAAAGCAAGAAGATCTTCATGATTTTGAATGATATATGTATATGTAGTGACGTATATGCGAAGTTATGGATCTTGATTGGGGCAAACCAAATTTACATCTAAGGAACGGTTTCTTTGTTGTGTAATAGAAACTAGCCTCACGTGTTGCGATTGGTAACAAAATTAGGGATTTGGGTTAGTAACATATAGCTCATTTTCTGTTTCTTTTTCTTCATTTTCTCTATGTGTAGAAACATATACATAAAAGTGTATGCTCATAAATCCGTATGTTTGTTTGAAGGGAACTTAAATCATGCAAGTTCAGGTACTGAATGTGGTGCTCTTAATGCTTCTAATGGCTACAACATGAGTAGCCATGTCTATGGATCTATGGTACGTATGAATCTACAAGTCATTTAATTCAAACAATATCATCCATATATGATATACAAAATAATAATGAATTTGGACTTTTGGTTTAAAGGAACAAGATTGTTCTATGAGTTACAACAACGTTAACGTAGGAGGTTGGACAAACAATATGGATCATAATCATCATTACTCGGCTCCAGCTTACAATTTCTTCCATAGACCAAAGCCTCTGTTTGGTCTAGAAGGTCATCAAGATCAAGAGGAACATGGTGGCGATGCTTATCTGGAACATAGACGTACGCTTCCTCTCTTCCCTATGCATGGTGAGGATCATATCAATGGCGCTGGTGGTGGCATCTGGAAGCATGGACAATCGGACGGTCGTGATTTTTATGGTAGAGACCCTCATGACTCTCTCAAGCTATGTCTTAACTCGTACGCCGGCGAATAAAACTCTTTATTTCTCTCTTTAGTATGTCTCCTTACAACTGGTTCGCTAGTGATATATTATAGTAGTATAGTGTCTTCGTAACGTAGTTTTATTGTAATTACTAATTACTATCTATCGTCTAGGTTTGACTTTAATTTGACTTCGTTTTTCTCGTCTTTTATAAAGTAAGATGTTTAAAATATTATGACTAACAAGTTGGAGTCTATTTCAATAGAATCTAAAATAGTAATTGCAAAAAGATCCGGAGGCATGAAACCAATGGCAGAGATATGTAATTCAAGAAGATCATGCTTCATATGATCATTATTCATTATGAACAAATTAAAATCTTATGCTTTGTTTGTTTAGTCATGTAACGCGATGCACATTAGGGACTGTTCTCTAAGTCAGTGTATTGCGTCTTACCTTCATCAACACTGAATTATAGTTGATCAAAGTAAGGGGACCGTTAATTTTAATTAAAACTGAACTATATTTCTGATCAATGTACGTATAGAGCGTTTTTGTGATTTGGTGTGTAACATTTCTTTAATCAGAAATTTTAAATTAACAGAGTTTGAGTATCAGCAGCGGATAAAATACTAATTTGTTTCCTCAAAGTCCATAACTTTTACTTAAGAGTTAAAAATTACATAAAATTGTGTTCATCCTTTCTCTAGACTTTTAAATCTATACTATATTATGTAGAGAACTAGATGTACTGTTATCATCGTTTATTTTTTTAAGAGATGCATTATCCTTTCAAAATTAAGAATAAATAGTGAAATTGTGTCAGATTTTGTATATAATTGTACCAACTACCAATAGATTGATGGCTAACCGAGGCTATTGGATCTCCATCGTTAAACTATATTTAATCCCATGAATTTTGCCGAAATGTTTGTCAAGCATATGATTTTTCTTATCTTTTTGTCCTTGTCGTAAAAATGAAAAGTTAATGATGGTAATCAATTAATCAATTATGATCATTGATTAGTCTGAATTCAGTTCATCGAGCTTACATACATGATTAGTTTCACTTCAGTTCTTCTGCATATCGGTTACGTTAAGGTGGCTCACGCGTTTGAGAGCGCGTGAATGTCAATTCCACAGTCTTTTTTGCAAGTCCTCGAGCCGCGTGACCTAAGATGACACGAGTAAGCAAAATGGTTTTGGTTAGTAGTCGGCTAGTCGCTTTTTTGTTATAAATCTCGTTTAAGTAATAATCTTGGCTTTTGGCTTTTAAGTAAAAATCTTGTTTATAGTTAGAACTTAGAAGATTCACAAATAATTAATTATGTCCAATCTCTTCCGTATCATACGATTCATACCGTTATACTATTTTTATTTTATAAGGTCGGTTTATTATGTACCAAGAATATATACTCTATTAAAGTAGAACAAAGAATGTGGCAGTTATAGAGGACATAGGTGCAGCCATTTTTTTTTCTTTATGAAAGGAAATAATGAGTATATTTTTGGTAGTTTGAACCCTTTCTTCATTGTAAACTACGCTAATTATTATTACCTTGAAAATTTTATTTATATTCACTGATCTCTTTTTCTTTGGCTGCACTACCTCGTTAGAAGTTCCTTTTTTTTTTGTGGTTAATAGAAGTTCCTTCTCTTATGCTCAGAAGTTTAACCCAAAAACTAACACTAGTATTTTATGAATATCGAATAAATGGACTACTTTTTTTTGCAAGTACTGATTTTGAATTCAACCGTTTGAGATGATACCGACTCAAAGTTACTGAATACATTGTTTTTTTTTTTTAACCTTTACTGAATACATTGTTTATCAACATTTTTTTGTGTGGCTTTGTATAAGCTTACGTGAGCAATCCCTCTGTATGTATACCATAAAACTAAACCTTTAAGAAGAACAGGAAGTCTACATCAAGAGATCACAAATCGAATAATTCAAACATAAACTCGATTGCACATCTATCATATTGACCAAATTGCCCATATTCATATTGAACTGAGAGAGAGAGAGAGAGAGAGAGAGAGAGAGAGAGAGAGAGAGAGAGAGAGAGAGAGAGAGTCAAGTTGATCGTACCAAATAATTTTTTTTTGTATATAATAATTATTTGAACATATATGTTCCATTCATATGGTTCAAGACACTGACATATGTAGTTATGTGCGTCTAAGGAGTTACTTACTTGTGATGTATACATGCTTGTAAATATTCAAATGAATATAGATATGAATTTTTCTGCGGATCCGAGAAGATCTTTAAATGCTTTTTGGGGATTCAAAGTACGTTATTTCTATAAGAAGCAAAGATGTGAGGCTTGTGTAGCATCAAGGTCTGTGATTCCCTTTATGTGAAATTCTCCCTAAAAGACTTGTTTGGATCAGTTAGCTCCATTTGCCATTTTTTAATTGGCTAATTTTATAATGCGCCGAAATCTAAATGTTGTATCCGTTTTGTGAATATTTCAGCGAATATGTATACAATAGTACTGAAAAATTAACATAAAAACTGTTTACGGATTTTTCATTTGCCTTTTTGCTTTTATAGACTTTGTCAAGTAATCTCAAATTTTTTTTTTCAGTGCAGTTAATCTCATTCGGATTGTGTTTGTTATGTGTACGGAAGAAAGTTCGTTAATTCTCGGACGTTATATATCAATTAACCAAACAACAAATTAACGTACTAAAATTAAATAAAAAATAAACTACTACTTGTTTGCCCCAAAAAAAATAAAATCTACTACTTAGTATAAACAAGTGCTTTATCTATAATTGAGAAATAAAAATAAATAAAAAATATTTCTACTTCTGAAGCCAACAATTTTCCGTAAACAGTTTTATAGGATTTGCGATTAAAACTTTGGATATGATTTTTGTTGAGATATCAATCCAAATCACACATTAGAAGATTAGACAAAGAGTGTCTAGTATATAAGTAAGATGTCCAACAGTTTAGTATGAGACCTTTTGGAAATGAGTCAAAAACCAAATCAATGCGGGCTTTGCCACTTGAACCCAAAACAAACAATATCATACTAATAAAGAGTTGGACATGAGCTTAAAAAACTCAACAATTGGTATCAGAGCTAGGTTCTGGAAAAGGTAGATCTGGACAAGTGGGTGTGGGCTGTGTGTTCGGTGTAGGAGGAAAGCCCTCAAGGTGACCTTGCGATTGGGGTACCAATGCCTTGTGTCGAAAGTATTCCTAACGGTGCGCGAAGGGTTAGGTTGGGCGATACAAGATGGGTGCCAAATTTTACGGAAGAAAGGAGACCACAGATTTGTGTGGTTCTTGGCTTGAGGGGAGGATTGTTAGGATATCAATCCAAGTCCTACATCGGAAGATTAGACAAAGAGTGTCTAGTATATAAGTAAGATGTCCAACAGTTTAGTATGAGGCCTTTTGGGAAGGAACCCAAAAACAAATCCGTGCGGGCTTTGTCACTTGTGCACAAAGCAGACAATATCATACTAATAGGAAGTTGGACATGGGCTTGAAAAATCCAACAACTGGTATCAGAGCGAGGTTCTGGAAAGGTGGACTTGGACAAGTTCAAGTTTCGCGGAAGAAGGGAGACCACAAGTTTGTGTGGTTCTTGGCTTGAGGGGAGGATTGTTGGGATATCAATCAAAGTCCCACATCGGAAGATTAGACAAAGAGTGTCTAGTATATAAGTAAGATGTCCAATAGTTTAGTATGAGGCCTTAAGAACCCAAAAAACAAATCTGTGCGGGCTTTGCCACTTAGACCCAAAGCAGACAATATCATACTAATAGGAAGTTGGACATTAACTTGAAAAGCCCATCAATTTTGTAGCCTGTGATGAAAATTGGTTTTGAAGGCAGCAGAATATGTCATTTTAAAGGGAGAGTTTTAGATTTAACCCATATTTCAAAGTCAAACACCAAACTAACCTCTTTTTTTTCTCTCTCCAACTTTTGCCATTTTCTCACAATTTTATCCTTCCCACTTAAACTATTCACGAAAATGCCATTATACATTTATTATTTCGATTTTTCTTTAATTTGGCTAAAGTCTCCTTGGACCTTCTAAAGACCTTTTAATTACGAGAATGCCATCTTCTTCAATTTCTTCAACCACCATGAACAACCATTTTAATGGAATAAATGCTTCTCAACCAATTTTAAAGCTGTAATAAAACAAATATCTAACCTCATTCACTCATAACCTTGCTCATTCTTTCATAATTTCTTCTCCAAAACATCTGGGCAAAGTTACAATGCTTCGCGCCATGCTTTTTCGGTGATTTCTGGTTACTCGACACCTGAGTTGTTTAATTTCGGTGAAATCCTGAGTTCTGGGTGGATAAGAGAAACTTAGGCGAGCCCAATTTTGTTAAAGGTAATCCTCGCACTTCAATTTCTACACATTTCAGTTTTTATATCGCGAAAGTAGACTTCTCGTGAACTATACTAAAGTCTACTAGTCAACATAAGGTTATTTTTGCAATTGACTTTTAAAAAGTAGACTTCGTTAAACTTCACGAGAAGTCTACTCGACATCCTTTGAAAACAAAAAAAAACTTAGTAGACTTCGTTTGAAGGCACAAGAAGTCTACTAAAGAAAAAAGGTTATTTTTGTAGTTGACCGTATTGACTTTTTGATTTAGACTTCCGTATGAAGTCTACTGTTTACGTCTGCATACGAACTCTGCTTTTAAGTTACTTTTGTAGTTTGACCAAAAACGTATAGGTCATTTTTGTGTTTGACTTCTGTTTTTCAAAAATTAAAAAATTTAAAAAATTCTAAAAAACTTCAGTAGACTTCCCAAAGAAGTCTACAAATTGTAGACTTCTTTGTGAAGTCTACTTATTTTGTTCGGTCAAACTTAAGTCTACTCAAAAAAATCAATTGCAAAAATAACCTATTTTGTTCCGTAGACTTCTATTTAAAAAAGTAGACTTCAAAAGTAGACTATCAGAGAAGTCTACTCTAACATGAAGTCTACAATAGAAGTCTACTCTGTTAGTCAATGCATCGGTCAAATGCTAAAGTAACCTTTTTTTACTGAAGTCTA